GGATGCGTTATTGCATCACGATGCTTCATAGAGCGATGCCTTTTGGCGCAGACGCGATTAAAGGACCAGTGGCCGCAGTCGCAGCAAACAGCGCTGGGAAAAAAGGTGGTCAAATTTTCGTTGGCATGTACAGGATGGCTTTCAATGTAGTGCGCCATCAGCGGATCGCCCTTGCGCATTGAGCACACACATCCTGGCGCAGGACAGTCAATCCAGTTCAGAGAAGGAAAGCACTCGGAAGGGCGGCGGAGATCGGGTGGAGTGGAATGGTGCGTTTGAACATGGCGTTGCTCATTGGAATCCGAGACAAGCATGTTGCAGATTGCACAAGACACCGGAGAAGGAGTCGCCATAATGGCTGCACGCAAAGAAAAGAAAGGCAAGGTGAGATGGTTCACGCATCAATAAATGGCAGCGCATGCGAGGAATGAGGAAGGGTGGGGACTCACCGTTGAGGAGAAGGAAAATGCAACGGAAATTGTAACGGAAGAACGAATCTCAACGGTCAAACCATAAGGGATGACACTTGGTACGTGACCGAAGTTGTCTCGATGAACAGGTGAAAAAGTGTCTCCGAGAAAGAATTGTCAGACCAATGTCAGATAAAACTGGCCACGAGTCGAGGAGAGAACCGCGATCCAGGTGTGTACCATGGCAGAGATGGCGACGAAATGGAGTCCCTTATAAGGATGAACATGGTGCGAAATTCAGAGAGGCGAGACGATCAGAGGTCCGCATTCAGAGAGACAGGCGCAACATTTTCCCGCCGCAGGACAGGTGTGTGCGCGCGCGCTCTCCGCCCGGCGCCTCGATCGCGCTGCCATGTGCACACACGGGATAGTACAGATGGGACCACAGACACCGCTTGGTCCAGATCAGTACAAGATCCATGCCCATCGTCTTCTCGGCCTCTCATGCTTGTCGTGCATGGGCGTAGGGAACTGCTTCAAGAAGCCTTGATTTGTTTCATTTGTTTGTGTTCGAAAGCCGCCTCCTCCCCCCTCACGGCTCAAGGCCGGACACTCTCCCAGACTCGCTTGCCCCTTCCGCCCCCTCCCCCGTTGGGTGCTTCCGGCACCATGGCCTCACAAGCTGACTGGGAGCGTCTTCAGCACACGGTACAGTGTGGTGCTCTGCCCCGATCCGCCCTGACTGCCAGCCATGCCTACACAAACGTGCGTCGTGGCTCACCGCCTGGCTCAACCCTCAACCACATGCTTTTGATCGTTGAGGACAGATTTTTACGCGATGGTGCAACCAGCGTCTGGCCAAGCGACAGCTGGATCCAATGGCCGATGTGGTAACCGACATTGGTGGGTTCAACCGCAATCGCCTATGCTGCCTCCCGGCTCCATAACTTCTGTGGGCCTCCTGTTGCCACTGAAACTCGACTTTGTAGCACTCACCAGGGCGCTCAAAATGCAACGCAGGCAAGCAAAACCGACTTATTCAGCTCGTTGAGATCTTGTCCGAGCGGACGTGCGACAAAAAGATTATCGCCAATGCCCGCGTCAAAGCACAGGAGATTGAAAACTTGACCAAAGCCCTCGAGTTTGTGTACGAGTGTGGTGTGGACATGAAGCTCAAACCCTCACCGGAGAATCTCTATGACGGCGATGACCGCGCTGTCCTTGGTCTCATCTGGGCTCTCATGATGAAGTATCTCAAGTTTGCCCAGGAAGATGATGAAAACCTCTCTCCCAAGGTTCGGCACAAACGTTGCCTGCGGCCAGGTCCAAGCCTTGGCCCATCCTCGCCTTGCGCTTCTGATCTATTTTTGGTGTTCCTTTCCGTTCCTTTCCGTAGGAAGCATTGTTGCGTTGGGTCAATCTCAACACCAACGGCCATGCCCACGCCGAGGTCTCCAACTTTACCAAGGACTTTCAAAATGGGTGCGCACCCTCTTCATGTCCACTTGCGCTGTCCAACTGCTCTCCCCCTTCCCTGCTTCTTGCTTCATTCAACCCCTCACTTTCTCTCACCTTGGCACACTCTTCTCCCGCCGCTCTTCCCGCCTTGGCATGCGTACTATACGCGTGCTTGTGGCCATGGTGACATGACACCAGCATGGCCCTCTGCGCTCTGATCCACAAGTTTAGGCCCGAGCTCATTCCCTACGATAGCCTCGACCCCGCCGACAAGCTCCATAACTTGCGCTTGGCAATCACGGCCGCTGGCCAGTACTTTGGCATGGAGCCTTATTTGACGGCCGAAGACATTGGCAAACTGGACGAAAAGTCCATGCTCGTGTTCGTCTCTGAATTTTACAGCGGTATTACCGAGCAGCTGAAACTCGAGCTGGCCGCCCGACGCATTGCCCAGGTGGTAGCCTTCACCATGACCAACGATGAACTCAAGGCCCGCTATCTCGCCGAAGCCGCTGCACTCCACACGCGCATTCAGCAAGCCGAGGCACAGCTCACCGCTTATGGTCAAGCCAAGTCCACGACTATGACTGGCGCCCTTCAGCAACTCTCAAGCTTCAACAAGTATCGCAGCACGGAGAAGCGTGACATGTACTCGGAACACATCAAGCTTGAAGCCCTCTTCACCAACCTGGCGACTCGCCTCGCTGACAACAGCCGCCCGCCCTTCCTCCCTGATGAGCCCCATCTGCGCGTTGAGGTGCGCGCCGACCGCCTCAAGGGCCTGCTGAAGCTTGAGCAGGATGTTGGTCTCTTCTTGCATAAAGAAGTCAGCCGCCAGCACCGCTTGCAACAGTTGGACCAGGAGCACCACTCACGCTATAACAAGCTGATCCAATGGACCACGGAACGCGAAAGCAACCTGCCAGACGTCGACGCCGTCAAGTCCTCCGGGCAAGCACGTAACCTGCTTAAGCTCCTCGAGAGCACCGCCGAAGAGATTCAATCCCTACAAGATACCTCTGTCGCCAAGCTGCGCGAGATTCGCGAGACGTTGGCCAAGGACACCTACGAGTTTCTTGCCCGGGTTGAGGAGCGAGAAAAGGACTTGAGCGAACGCCTCGGTGGCTTCTCGGCCACCCTCATGTACCGCGCACCTGGCTTTGAGGATGCCCTGCAACGCGAAACCCTTCGAGAACAGGTTTGTTGGCTTCTCCACCCACAGACTCGGCCCGTTGCTATTCATGCCCCCCGCCCCCCTTTTTTTTGCTGCTTTCTCATGTTTCTCCCTGTGCTTGCGGAGCCAGGTGGAGCAACGAGCCTCGGTGCACAAGGACATGTGCGAGCAAGTCACCGCCTGGGGCCATCAAGAGCAAACTTACCTCCAGACCAAGGAAGCCGTCACGTCTTACAGCGATGCCAAGGTATGTTGCGATTTGCTGCCAAGTTCAATGAAGCAACGGTTGTGTCCAGCCAACACCCATTTGCGCCCCGCTCACCCTGCGCTGTGGCCCAATGGGTTGTTGTCTGGTTACTCTTCAGCTCCAATTGAGCTTGTTGGATGGACATGCGGCTGAGCGTCAGGACCAGATCAACGGCCCCATTCAGAACATCAAAGAGCTCGGTATGACTCGGTTGTCCCTCGCGAGGTTTTACAGTCTCCCGCGCGCCCGCCTTGACGCTGATGACATGCTTCCTATGCTTTCCCGAGTGTGCAGGTCGTGGCATCTGCTCTGCGAGCTATGAAAGCACCCTGTCTCGCTGGCAATTTGCAGACACCGCAACAATTCTGCGACGTGAGGGAGAAATTGACACGCTCTGGGCTGAGCTCGAACGTCTCGCCAGCGAAAAGCACAAGGTGAAAGAAAGACTCTTTGTTTTGAAGAGCGGCATCGGGGGATGTGAATGTGATGGAGGGACAGGTCGCCATTGACATCAAGTCCCTGCTATGTTTTCTTTTTTTTTTTTTTTCTTTTTTTTTTTTTTTTCTTTTTTTTTTTTTTTTTTTTTTTGCGGGAGGGGTGTGTGTGTGCCGTGGAGTTCAATTTTTTTGCCTTGCTTTTACTTTGGCATGGCACAATTGCTTGATCTTAACTTGATGCGCTGCTTTGTTCTCGCGTAGGTACTGGAGGATGACGTGGCACGTGAGGCCTATGCTCGAGATACACGTTTGCTGGCGCAGCAGCACCTGTCCAAGAGTGAGCAGCTCAACTCTTGGGCGGACGGGCGCTGCACATACTTGCGAGCGCGAGAGCCGTGTGACGATGAAGCCACCGCTCGTTTGCTGCTTGGCCTGCTTGGTGCCTTCCACGAAGAGCTCGACATTTTGCAGCGCACCGATGTTGCTACCTGGGTGGCATTGGGACGCACAATCCTTGACCGCCGCTATACTGGTCTGTCCAGCTATGTTTACGAAGACCCCACTGCTCTTCAGACTCGCGAGCAGCAATGGCAGGCTCGAGTCGGAGAGATGAACGAACTTGCCACTGCGAAGAAACCGTTCCTGGAGGACCACCTCGCTCGCGTCGAGTTTCAAGAAAGTGTGCGTCTTCAAGTGCGTAGCCACGCTGATGCACATGCGCTGCTGCAGGCGTGGTACACCGATAAGCGCGCCTTCTTGCAGCGTAAGGAGGTCATCCAAGACGTGCAAAGTGCACTCTTTCACCTGGGGCTCCTAGCCACCTTTCAACAAGAGCTGGCTGACGTCATTGCTGGGCCGCTGACCGCCCTGCGTACGCTCGGCACGGCCATTCGCGACGCCAAGTACGAGAGCACCTTTTCAAGCTGGGTGTACGAGGAGCCTTCCGCAGTGACTGCGCTCGAGACCGAAGTTGAAGCGCAGTGGATGCCCGAGCTGGAGCGCCTGGCTCAGGACAAGGTAACTGTTCTGCAGGATGATTTGGCTCGGGAACAATTTCGTGATCGTACACAGCTTCAGGTGGGTAACCACCGGGAGATGTTTGATGCGCTCGAAGCATGGGCACAGGTCAAGGTCGCCTACCTAGAGCACAAAGAGGATGTGCATGACTCTGAGGCCGCTAAAACCCAGCTCAGTCTCCTTGCCGCGTTCCGCGACGAGAAGCGTGGCATGCACGATACCTCAGTCGCGTCCCTGCGTGCAGCTGGCGAGCAGATCCGTGCTGCGGAGTATCAAACGTCCTTGTCGTCCTGGCGCTACGAGCAACCCGATGCTGTTTCAGCCCTGGAGGCACAGATCGAAGCACGCTGGCAAGAGATGGACGCGCTTGCGGATCGCAAGCAGGCCGTGCTTGAAGATGATCGTGATCGTGAGCTGTACGCAGAGCACACACGCTTGTTAGCTGGCCGTCACGATGCTGAGGCACAGCGTCTCAATGAGTGGGCTGATGAGCGTGAAGCTTACCTCAAGGCTCGTGAGACCTGCGACACCATCGCGCAGGCGCAGTATTTGCTTGCTGTTCTGGATCAACACGGTGCTTTCAAACGGGCCAAGTCCGACTCGACACTAGTGTCTTTTCACCGTCTAGGACAGGAAATCCTCGCCCGCAAGTATGAAACAAGCTTGAGCACCTACGTATATGAGACCCCAGAACTTGTTCAAGGTCGCGAGGCCAGTTTGGCTGAGCGGTGGCAGCAACTGGACACCCTGGCTGCCGAGAAGTTGCCCTTTTTACAGGATCACCTGGCCCGCAATGAATTCCAGAACCGCGTCCGTCTCATGGTCAGCAATCATCGCGACAGCTTTCAAAAGCTAAGCGATTGGGCCAAGGTCAAAGAGGCCTACCTCCAAACACGCGAGGCTATCCACAGTGTGACCGAAGCCAAACTGCATCTCAGCTTGCTGGACGGGTTTCGCACCGAGAAACAGGATATCTCCGCTGGAGCCGTGGCGGCGTTGAATCAGCTCGGCCAGGAGATTCGTGATGCCACCTATAGTACCAGCTATTCCTCCTGGCAGTATGAGCAGCCGGATGAAGTCAGTGCACTTGAAAGTCGCATCACTACGCGATGGGCCGAGCTGGACGGCCTGGCCACTGAAAAGCAGGCCGTACTAGACGACCACCTGGCACGCGAGGAGTACGCCGAACAGACAAGGCTGCTGGCCGGACAGCATTTGGATCAGCACAACCGATTGCAAGCCTGGGCGACCGAAAAGCAGGCTTATCTCGACGTACGCGAAACGGTGGATACGGTGCAAGATGCCCACTATCACCTTAGCGTGCACCAAGCTTACGTAGGCGACAAAGCCACGGTGACCGCAGCTGACCTTGCCTCGCTGCAAAAGCTGGGTGCGAACATCCTGGCTCGATCGTACAAGACTGCGCTCTCAGCCTATACCTACGAGGAGCCGGCCAGCATCACGGATCGCGAAGCCTCGTTGGCCGCGGCCTGGCAACAGCTAGACGCCGCCAGTGCTGTTAAGTTACCTATCCTTGAGGACCATCTGGCCCGCAATGTCTTTCAGGAGAAGGTGCGCCTGTGGGTGCGAAACCACCAGGATGCCCACGCCAGCCTACGTGATTGGTCCGTGAATCGTCAGGCCTACCTTGAAACCAAAGAGCACGTCGAGTCAATCGCCGCTGCTGAGCTTGCGCGTAGCGTTTTGGACGCGTTTCGCCAAGAAAAGGCCGACGTCACCAAGGGTAATTTGGCCGCCCTACGCGACCTGGGGAATCAAATTCGGACGGCTCGCTACGAAACAGTTCATTCCAACTGGGCTTACGAGCACCCGGAGGCCGTGACAGCCCTTGAAGAAGAAATCGCTGGCCCAACCTGGGCCGCTCTTGATCAGCTGGCCGAAGCCAAACAGGCCGTGCTGGATGATGACCTGGCTCGAGAGCAGTTCAAAGAGGCCACACGTCTCAAAGTGCAGAATCACAAGCGTCAGCACGAGCAACTCGACGCCTGGTGTCAGGCTCAAAGCGCATATCTCACCAAGAAGGAAGATGTGACCAACAGCACCGTGGCCAAAGCTCAGCTCAGCCGCTTGGAGCTCCACGTGGCAAAAAAGGCCGACTTGACACAGGCCGACAAGGCCAACCACGTTGCCCTGGGAGAGGACATTCGCGCAGCCAAATACGAAACAGGGCACAGTTCGTGGGTGTACGAGGCCCCAGCGACGCTGCTGGAGCTTGAGGCCAGCTTGGCCACGTTTTGGCAGCAACTGCAAGCTGAACACGCAGCCAAATTGGGCGTGCTTGAGGACGACCTGGCGCGCGAGACGTACGCTGAAGAGACGCGGCTTCTGGCTGATCAGCACGAGGCCACTCAGAGCCTCTTACGCAACTGGGTTGAGGCCAAGCAAGCATACTTGCAGCAGCGAGAGGCCGTGGACAGCACCCGCGACGCGCGCTTCCACATCTCCTTGCTTGAAGCATTCATGCACGAACACCAGGCAAAGACCGAGACATCGTTGACCAGCTTCCAAGCGCTTGGCGCCAATGTCTTGGCACGTAAGTATGCCACCTCACTTAGTTCATACGTCTACGAAAAGCCCGAGGCCGTGCGGGAGCGAGAGGCCACTCTCGTAGCTCCTTGGGAAGCCCTGCTGAGTCTGGGCACGGACAAACGCGCTATCCTCGATGACCACCTGGCACGGTGTCTATTCCAGGATGAGACGCGTTTGGCCGTGCGCCTTCACGGTGAGTTTCACGGTGAGCTGCAAAAGTGGGCTGCTGCCTCACAAAGTTACCTGGACGCGCGAGAGGTCATCGAGACCGAGGAGGAAGCCACGCTTCAGCTTAACTTGCACGCAGCGCATGTCAGCGAGCTGGAAGATAAGCGCACGGGTGCCCTGGCAGCACTAGAGACGCGTGGTGGCAAGATCCGCTCAGCCCGCTATGAAACATCCATCTCAGCCTGGAGCTACGAAAAGCCGGACGAGGTGCAGGCGCTGGAAGCGGCTCTCTTGTCGGCTTGGGCTGGTCTGCGCGAAGCCGCAGCGACCAAAGCTGATTACCTGAAGGATGCCCAGTCACGCAACCAGGTCAAGGCGGCCGTACTACTGTTGGCTGATCGCCATGACGGTGCTTGCAGCCGCTTAATGCAGTGGGCGGGATCCAAAACCACTTATCTTGACACACGGGAAGCGCTGGACAGCCTGGTGGCCGTGGCTGTGGCCCAACGTCTTTTGGAGGCCTTTGATCGAGAAAAGGAGATGATGCAAAATACGGCGCTTGCGAGTGTGAAGGCCCTTGGGGCAGAGGTCAAGACCACCACGTACCAGTCCTCCCTCTCCAGTTGGCAATATGCTGAACCACAGCAGATTGATGCACGAGAAGCGCAGATTGATGCCGCCATGATTTCGGTGCGTGTTTTGTTTGTTTATTTTTGGTTTTTGCATTTTTTTTTTTTTTTGTTGTTGTGATGTGTCGTCTTGACACAATTGTTTCAAGGGAACTCACTGTCAAGCCTTAACTGAATCTGATTGTAGCTCCACACCAAGGGTGAAGCCAAACGGACCCGCCTTGCTGAGGATGAACGACGAGAGGAAGCCAAGGAGGAGTTGCGACACCGCTTTGCGCATGCAGCACACGCGTTCCAGAGCTTTGTGAAGGTGGGTTGAGAAGGACGGCGCGCCTGTACCTGACTGCTTTCAAGTTTGCCCGGTCTTTGGCTGTGGGCGTTGTTGACTTCTGCCTCGCGATCTGCTTGCCCATTGCTGCATCTCAACCGAATTCACGCACGTGATCTTCCACTGTTTCATGCAGGACAACGTCATCTTCCTGCTGGACAAGCAAGACAGCAACAGTGCGTCGGGCGCGGCCACTTATGGGTTCACCTTGGAGGAGACATTGGCGTTTAAGGCCGAGTTGGATCGTGAAGATGTCCAGCTTGTTGCCCAAGCTGATGCGCTAAAGGTATGAAATATCGTGCTCTTTTTTGAGGACTGCACGCTGGCACACCACGGTGGCAAATTGGTGTGACAATGCCTCATCGGCACGCACATGGCTCCTCTCAATGGTCTACCCGTCTGGCGGCTTAGGGCAAGGCCACACAACTCGACTCAGAGCTGGCCGCTTATGGAGCGGTCACAAACGACTACACCAGTTTGACCACAACGACACTTGACGGCCTTTCTGGCGAACTGCAGGGTCAGTCTCGTGCAGCTGTCGGCCCCTAACGCTCCAACTTTTGGCCCAAGCTCCGGGGGGCACGGCTTGGTGTCTGCCGCTGACCTGACTTATCCGGCTTGGTTGGAATTGATGGTCGGCTTGGTATAGATGCTATCAAGCAGCGTTTGACGACTTACCAGCAAGAATTGGAACGCAAGCAAGCCAATGACGGCACCTGCCGCGAGTATGCTGACCGCGTGCACCCTCTGCTTGATCACATGTACAGCAGCATGGACAAGCTGGCTCGGCCTGAGGTGTGTATGTAGTCTGCTATGACTGGCAGCAGATGAGAACTATCGCATATCCAATATGCAGAGTACTCGATTTGTGGACTCGTGGTGATTTGACCTCTGCGTCCTTGCAATGCACTCCTTGTCAGGGCACGCTGGAGGAGCAGTTGGCTCTGATTGAACAGGCCATGCGCGCCTGCGATGACCATGACAAGGCCATTGCCGACATTCATCAAATGGAAAAGGATATGCAGGTTCGTTTGTGCCTGAAGCCGAATATGTGCCAGTTTGTCCCAGCTTTCGATATGACGGACCTTGGTGCTGAAATTCACCATTCCGCTGCCACGCGCACGTGACATTATACAGGCACGGGCCATCACGTTCAACCCCCACACGACAGTGACGGCGGAGGACTTGGAGATTCAGCTGCAAGATTTCCGAGATATCCTTCGGTACAAGCAGCCACTCCTGGAGAAGGAGATTGAGTTCAAGCGCTCGCGTGGCGTGACTGCAGAACAGCTTCAGGAGATTGAAGATTTCTTCCGCAATTTTGACAAGGACAACTCGGGAAGCATTGAACGCAAAGAGCTCAAGGCGTGCCTTTTTTCCTTGGGCGAGGAATTGACAAGCCAAGAAGTCGAGGGCTACGTGAAGAAGTTTGGTGGTGCCAACGGCTCTCTTAGCATCAACCAGTTCCGCGATCTGATGGTCCACCTCATTGGTGTCATCCATACTCAGCAGTCCATCCTCGATGCCTTCCGCTTCATTGGTCGCGGAGACGAATCCATGGTGGGTACTGGACTTCTGCCTGCATGTCTGTGTAGTATGCGCCACGATGGGCCTCACTGCCACTCTTCACCCTTTTCGTTTGACTTGATTTCATGTCATTTGCTTATCGCATTGAATGATTCTTGTTCCTCCCCTTCAACTCAGGTTGCAATGGAGAAGTTACAGCCACGATTGACCAAGGCACATTTCGATTTTATCGTCGCCTCACAACCCGCCACCGCGACCGGGCAGATTGATTATCCCAAGTTTGTGGATAACGTTTTTGCTCGCTAAGACTTGAACGCCCCTTCGACAGCGGGAGCCGATGCTCTGGCTCTCCCCGCCCCATTTCCTGATTATCTAGCTGCCTCTTCAACCTTTTGCATAACAAAAAAAAAAGGAACAATTGAGATAAGATCATGAATGGAATAGGAAAAAAGCCGAAAACAGAAAATTTGAAAAAATTATTCTAAGATTGAGCCCTAGGAATCAAAGGCTGATGAATGGCCCTGCCTGTGCATGGAGGTACTCAAAGGCGTCAAAGTTGATGCCGGCCTCGACTTCTGGCTGAATGGCACGTGTACACTACCAACTTCAAGCGTTGCCCTTTCGACAACCTTTCCAAATCTCAATCTACGAGTTGAGTTGCTTTCAAGTTCCCGAGCACGGCTTTTAAGCCATTTGCTGCTATTTGGAGCATTCATGGTGGGACTGTTCATTCAAATTTGCTTTGTTGAGCATCATGATGCCGATTCCCCGATGAACGCACACAGTCACGCACAGAAAGGGATCATGGGGCGTGTAAGCAAGGACAACTGCGGTTTTTATCAATGCTTTACGTTTGCAAACAGTCAGTCACAGGCAAGACAAGACGCTCATGGCGCTCACAACATGTTATACATCAGAGGTGGCACCATCGACGTCGATGTATTCCATGTTGAGCTGCAGCATGCGGCGTGCCTCGTTATCTTTGTCTGAGTGCCAATGGCGCTCGGGCGAGCCATGCTCGAGTGGTAGGCCGTCGGGTCGCTCAGGGTTCAGATCAACATTGGGCAGGGGCTCCAAATCTTGGTATAGAGATTCCAGATCAGGCCGATCGTAGCCGCGCTCCGGATCCAAGTACGCCAAGCTTGACGTATCATACAGCGGGTTGAGGTATGCAGGCGAAGTTCCACCATCCACTGCCATTGGCACAAGCATGGTCATGAGTCACCGGTCGATGATCTTGGATCTGGAACTGAAGGTGCAGCATACCTGACGGGCGAGGTGGGGTGCCCTCAGACTTTTCTGCAAAATGCCCGCGACGCGAGCGCCACAACCAAACGGCAAGGGTCGAGCATGCAACCAAAGCCACTGCCAAGCCGCAGGAGCACGTGATTCAGCAGCCAAAAAAGGAAGTGTGGAGGCGCGACGCCAAAATGAGGATAATTAACAGGCTGACTACAAACGACTTACCAATGAGACCGACAATGAGACCCGTGGGGTGACGAGTGGAACTCTGGTTCTGTTGCGGCTCAGAGCCTTCTGGCTGCATGGCTCCTGAGGTCACCGGCCTCTGTGTCGATGCATGAACGCAGGCAGTACCTTCGTCGTTCGGCTACCCGAATAGCGTGATGATCAACAACTGTGAGTGTTATATGCAACAACCTCTTGGATTGTTGTGCTGAATAAAATTCGAGGAAGCCCTCCACAGAGCCATGAAAAAACAGACATTCTTACCTGCATTGCCACGCCACATGCGAGGCAGCCAGGATAGCTGCCACTTGCAGATGTTGTTCCTGTGAGACAAGGACCGTACGCTCGAAAGCTGAGGTCATGACCTTCGAAAGTCACATTGAGACCGCCTTGCACATCGGTCCGAGCAGACAGAGGCAAGAGCCCCTGGGCAGAAGAGCCTTCGACAGCCGCGATAATTGAACCGCGGTGAAGCTGTATGTTGAGCAACAATTGGGATGGAATCCCCGCAATGGCGTGGATGGCTTTTTTCAGCGTCGCTACGAGAAGCTCAAGCCTGGGCTCCTCATCCTCATCAGTGAGCAGGACAGCATCGTAGTCTGCAGCTGCACGCAACAACAAGCTTCCCGTGCTGTCCTTGGGTACACATGCTCGATCACTGGTTAATGTAGGCCCCAGGAAAGACATCTCGCCGGCAGCGACGCTACAGACGGGACTTGTCGCGACGCACGGTGCGCCGGCAGCTGGTCGATAGGAGGTGCCCAGAATACAGCCACAGTGCCGATCGGAAAATCGTGATGGTGGCGTTAATTCTGCTTCAAGCTGTGGCTCACACGCAGTCACGTTTTTGCAAGCCAGTAGACCTGAAGGCAGCAAATGCACATGATTGAGGCGAATAGACATTGACAGCGCTACTCATTTTGTTGGTTGGAAGCCAAACTTCCAGTTGTGCGAAAGTGCTCACCAGCTTGGTCGGCGTATGTTGTGATTCCGTCACACGGCTGGCACACGGTGTCTACCGTGGTATGGGCCGGCAAAGAACGAGCAGATCCGGGCGCGCACGGCGTGCCGTTGCGGCAAAATGCCTGTCCAGCCATGTCTTGGAAACGATTGATGGGACATGCATCACACTACAAAACGCAGCCATGAGATACTTTGCCACAACAAATTGACCTTGTCGGCGCAGGATCAAAGCACCTTTTACCTGATGCGCGTTGGTGGATTCAGAGACGGTGCCTGCTTCACAAGCTACACATAAGCGGTCCTGCTCATTGGTGGCGTTGCGACGTACGCGTGTGCCAGGTTGACAAACGGTTATTCTCTTACAATTTGCTTGACCTGTCTCGCAGAAGCACACGCGAGGCGTTGTCGCCAGCAAACGTGGTGAATGAAAGCAGCTTGAACTAGAGCCCAAACCGAGGAGATGTTTAAGAAAGCAAAAAACGAGACATAGAACAATATAAAAAGTTGAACAACAGAGTTGGCTCTGACTTGACGCACCGACAGCATCTTGAAAAACACCAGCTGAGGCCAAACATGGCGCACATCGACGGTCCTGCACTGTAGTGGGTGCAATCACTTCATGCGTACCTACGCCACAAGGCGCAGAGTGCACCAGACATCGCGCACTCCCAGGTAGAGGCGAGAAGGTGCCACTGGGGCATGGTTTGCACAAGCGATCCGTGGAAATGGTGGGTGCAGCTTGCTCAAACGTGCCGGCAGCACACACGCTAACATTTTGGCAAGGACTTGTGCGATGCTCCCAAGGTTGAAAGGTCTGCTGTCGCACACACATTTGACATTCGCGATCTGAGGTGCTTGTTGGTTGGCCCGATGCACTTTCCTCAAAGCCCGCACCGCAGTCAGAGACCGGAGTGCATGTACGTGTGTCCCACATTGCCGAATACGTTTGGCCTGCTAAACAAGGCGAGCAGCTGTGCATACATGGACATGTCGTGAAAAGCCTCGCGCAGTCAACTGAAAGAGACATGAATTGTGTGTGTGTGCGTGTGTGTGCGTGCGTGTTTGTGGGCAAGGAAGTAAGCGCACGCCATTGTTTTGTTGCGACATACCTTGCGTCTGTCGATGCGTTGCCCGGATGTGCCTGGCCCTGACCAGGTGGACAACGTTGATGTGGTAGACAAGAGAGCTGGTTACTCGTGTTTGTAAACGTTTGGTCTGGACAGGTTGCGCAAACCCGCGCCTGTGTTGATGTCAAGACTTGCTCCACCCGGGAGCCTGGCCGACAGGTGACAGCGGTTGCACAACGGGGAGCGTTGACGTCCGTAGAGTACTGCTCGAGACTAGCATTGCAAACAGCACACACTAGTCCGTTCATATCACAAAGATGAGTACATGAGGTGCGTTGGGCTATCAGCTACTTTTATTAGGAGCAAAGTAAATATATTCCGGGCATGTGAACCAACCTCGATCTGAGGTGAGCGTGCCATCTTGGGCTACATATGTGCCGGCTGAGCATTCAGTCCATGGTGTGCAATCACCACTTCCCGTGTGCGCTTTAAAGGTTCCTTGATCACAAGCACGGCAAGTACGATCCGTGCTGCTGGTAGGCGCCAGATCTTCCATTGTTCCCGCGGTGCAGGTGGTGAGCGGCACACAGGCACCGCGAGATGCATATTCGAGGCCAGCCAAGCAAGAAGCACATTGTCGGTCGGTCGTATTCGTGGGTGCTGGACCCATAGCAATCATGCCCGGAGCGCACTCAGTCCAGGGTGAGCATCTATACAAAACGGGAGCACCAAGCACAAGTCACATTGTCAGAGGAGTGCAGCTTCAAAGACACATGTAACGGTTGACTTGAACGCGGGGAACGGCGCTTCCTCAACAGTCACAAAGCACACAGGGAAAAATTGCTCAAACGTAAAACGCGCGTACATCCGATCTGAAAAGTTGGTGGCGGGCTCCACTTCAAACGTGCCGGTGGGGCACGTGGACACTGAAGCGCAAACGCGGTCTCCCGTTGCCGAGCGGTCGGCGCTTTGCCGACACGGGGACACCTCGTACTCGTTGGCTTGACACACAGAACAAGAAGCACAAACACGGTCTGCGCCAACCATACAAGCCTGCACCTCATACTCCTGCCCTACACGGCACGGTGTACAAGCTTGGCAAACTATGCACGCTCGATGAGGCTTGGACCACGGAGGTCCCAACACATATCATGCCAGCAAACTCCCGACGTGCCGCGACATACCGGCATCATGTGTAGCCGTGCAGGCTGCAAGCTGCTCTGTCGCAAGCTGCGAACAGTTGGTGCAGGCCAAACAGTGGCGGTCACGAACATAAAACCCATGTGGGCCTTCCGCGGGCGCAGATTCTTCCCATTCATTTGCCCCGCAGGCCGTCAACGTTTGACAACGACGATCGGTACTTGATGTGGCCGCCACCGACTCAAACTCATTGCGGCTGCAGTTGCGCAGTTCCACGCAAACAGCGTCGGCACTGCTGGATCCCATAAAAGCATATCGCTGCCACGGAAGCGCACAGGTGCGTCGCTTGCGGCATGACCCACCAACATGATCATTAAATGTGCCCACGGGACACTCACGGCAAGCAACATTCTGTGACGCAGAGCCATTGCGCGCGATTTCCATGCCAAGCCCGCATGTTTGGAACGGTTGACATGCTTCATTGCCAGCTGTAGTTTTGAAGAAGCCTGCCCTGCAAGCCCCACACTGGCGGTTTGTCCGAGCTGTCGGTACGTTTTGGGGCTCCTCACCTGCTGTGCAGGTGGTCCAGGTTTGGCACGACACATTCTGATTCGGGCTGGACTTGAAGGTACCAGCGGGGCAGCTGGCACAGAGGCGATCCCGCGTGCGGGCCGCATCAGGTGCCAGGATCTCTTGTTGTCCAACTCCACATGGCGTCAAGGTCAGGCACGCGCCAACGTGGTACTGTGCATTGCTGTACGTGCCGGGGGGGCATGCCGCGCATGGTGTTGCTGGATCATAGTCATCGTCGCTGCTTCCAGGCATGCACATGTTGCAGTCACTAATCGTGCCCGCACGAGCATAAGTGCCGGGTGCGCACAAACTGCAGGCCGTAAGTGGGTCCGCATCCTCATCACTGGTTCCAGCTGGGCAAGAAACACACCTGCACACACGCAAGGCAAGCAGCCGAGTGAGGTAGAGCAAGGGTAGAACACTTGCAAAAGAAGCATTGCTTAGCATCATCACGGCAGCGATGCATTGGCTCATCTTGTCGTTGAATCTTGTCCTCATATCGACTCGTTAGAAGGTCAACGTACCGGCGGTCGCTGGTCTTGTTGCCAGGGAAGGCCATCACCGTACCTGGGCGACAGATGCTGAGAGTACGACACACAGCATCCGACGTCGCTGTGGGGGCAATGACCTCAAATTCGTCTGGCGCACACGTGCTCACAGCCGCACACTGTCGATCGTGATAGGCACCGCAGGCTTCCACCTGATATTCAGTGGCTGCGCAAGGAGTGCAGACCCGGCACGTAGCCGTGGCATTCTCGGTGAAAGTACCGGCCGCACAGTGGTCCATACAGGTGCCCGCCGTGCTAAGCACCAGGTCGTTTCGGCAGCTGAGGCATTGGTCAGGACCTGCTCCGCTACAACTAACGCAGTCCTCATGGCACGGAAGACAACTCGCAAGGGTCGCGTTGGGGTACTGGCCCATGGCGCACGTTGTCACGCAGGTGCCTTGGTCCGGTGCAAACACAAGACCGGTGGCACACGCCACGCAATCGGTGCTTGAGATACCCGTGCACGTCCTGCAGCTTGGGTGGCACGGAAAGCAGATGGGCGATGTGTCTTTAGAACACGAGCCAATCAGAGTTTCATTCCTCAAGCATGCATCCGCTGTTGTACAAGGCGCACACACGCCATCGTCGCGTTGATAAGTACTCGAATTTTGCGCAAAGCAGGCTGTGCTGTTTGGGTTCGGCTCCACAGGCTCGGTTTCCTCAGCACGACAAATGAGAATCCAATCCTCGTGATCATCAAGTTGTGTTGCACGCCGGCAGCCAGGCTGGACGTAGCACCATGCAAAGCCTGAACCATCCCAGTCCTGACAGCTGGCACCAAAGCCTTGGTCGTCAGAATGGCCGCGACAGGCGCAAGACTGGTTCAGTCCAACTGCAGGTGCTTCGCATATGGCACCACGAGCAACGCTACACTCAGCATCCACCCAAAAACCGACTGCGTTCAAATAGACACAGCGAGCCCCTGGGGTGCCACTGCTCGGACTTCCTCTGGCCCAGAAGGTATCCGTAAGTAAACCATCCGTCTTGTTGTCAGCCCCATCGACCCAGTGGTAGAGGCTTTCCGCGTCCACTCGGTGCAAGCCCAGCCAAGCTGGTGCTTCTGCAAGGGCGGTTACTGCTTCGTTCTCCGCAGCCGAGTGAACGGAGGCAAGTACGGCGTCCTCACTTGCACAAGCTGCTTGGGCGGAAGCAAAAGACCGCGACTCGTTATCATAACGGTAGCAGTGGCCAGCGAAAAGCGTATATCCTGGTTGGCAGGAGAGCGAGGTGCTGGCGCAGGTGCGTTGAAGCTCAAATGCCCCACACGCATCCTGAGCACGGCAAACACGCCGATAGCGCAGTTGCTCATCGCCGGCTGTTGGGGCTTCTGGTTCGGCTTCTGGACACGACTCACTCACGTAACACCAGCGTTCTGCGCTACCAGCCCAGTAATCACAGTGGCCGCCGATGCCAGAGGCTCCGCCCAAGCAAGCACAATGTTTGTTGAGAGAAATCTGCCCCGTAAGACGATCACCACCCGTAGAAAGCGTCGCAGATAGCTGGAAAGCAGCCACCGCGTCAGTCGGACGGCTTATCCAGGCGTCTGGCTTTGGCTGGATGGCAAGTCCACGACAAGGGGCGGTGGCATCGTAGACGGCAGCAGCCGCAAACAAACCCACGCCTCCCGAAGAGTCAAAGTCAACGGTAAACTGGACCTCTGTTCCAGCTACAGCCGTGACCAAGAGCTCAAGGCGTTCCACAGACGCGAGGGACATGGTTTCGTTGGTGGTGGCCGGGGTGCAAGACATGCTTCCCAACCATACGTCATCGACGACGAACGGTTTGTCCGGGTTTTCCTCCGCCTGACAGGCTCGCGTTAGCGAGAACTTGCCCCCCTCAGTGCCAAATTGACCCTGAATCTCCAGTCCGCTGGCTGCCTGCCGAACCGTGCCCGCTATTTGAATTGTCGGGCGGCCACAGAGCGACATGTGAGGGCTGGCCACAATTGTTCAAACTTTCCTTGATTTCTGCGTTTAGTTTTTTTGTCGGATAACTGACCGAGGTTCTCGCGAACAAAGGAGCGATCCGTGATGCCACTCCATGATGGATCAGGGCTTGTATACGATGCCGCAAAAGCTGATGCTGACGCTGTGATTGTGTAGTAATAGCTTGACTTGCCTATAAGATGTCGATTTGACATCAAAAACAAACAAAGGAACAAAAAGAAAAAAAAGTAAAATGCAGGGCGAAAAGTTGCGTTGCATCAAAGCCAAGCGCCTCGAGGCTGCGGGGCACATGGCGGTACAGCAGAATACCTGAAGATTCAAGTCGGCAACCTTTGGAGGTGTCACAATATTGGCCATGCACAAGCGTAGCCAAAACGAGGATTCGGGGCGAAACTTGCACCACCTACTCAAGATTGTATACGCGGACAGTTTATTCAATTATGCACGCTTTCCTGGCCACAATCGAATGGCACTCCGATCCGGGTGCAAGAGCATACCCGTAGCTCCATGGAGCCCCCGCAGGGTTGGCTCTCGCCATTGCGTAGCCAGCAGCGTGCGCCTGAGAAGGCACCGTGCCACGTTTCACCTTTTGCAAATACGTTTTGTGTAGGAGCCTCTGCCATAGATTTCCAGCGCCCGTTGAGGAATAGCCACTCAAAAAAGATTGACTAGCAATCAAAGGGAAGGGTGGTGCAAGAGTGGGTAGAGGGTTGGCACGCACCAGCTGTTGCAACGCAAGCTGCACTCGAGGTGCTACCCGGAAGAGATGCCTGGCCCAAATCGCAGGCAACGCACCGGGTGCGAGCCTTTGAACTCTGTTCAGTAATGCACAAGACACCAATACATGTATTGGCGTTTCGTGAGTACCCACGAAGAAGACCAACGACAAAGATTTTCTCAACGAGAACAGCCAGGATGCCTACATAGGTGTTGGCAGCACATGTTATGCAGCCTGTGGTCGGCGTCTGTAGCCCAGCAGCAGCCACAGATCCCTCTCTGCAAGGCCCAGTCGAGGCAACACGAGTTGCTATGCGCACAGAGCCAATGATTGGCACATAGACAACGCTCAGCTCCTTACGCTCTACCGCCTTGACAAGTGCCTGCATGGCCCCTGCGTTGCTAGTTGCGCACACCATGCCAAGGTGCCCCGTGCTGGCATCAGTGTACGTAGTCACTCTCATCTATTGCGCATACGCAACGGGGGTGTCATGGAATCTATGGCTTCATTTTTAATGGAAAAAAAAAAAAAAACACAAAAAACAACAACAGCAGCAACTGCATTTTGGCATGGCGAGCACAGAGTCCTTACCTCGGCCAAAGCCGGAATCAAAGCAGCCACTTGCGATTGTACCAATTGCTTGAAAGAAGTTCGGGCTGATGGCGATGATATGGTCACATTGAAGTCAAAGCTGGCCGTAACTGTGACATAACATGTTGATGAAAAGCATGAGTTGCGTTGTGTGTTACCCTCTAAGGCATCTTTGCACTGAATGTGCGATGGTCACGCTGCGGCGATGGTTAGAACTTGACGCTTCGACTGACCAATGCGCTCATAGTAATCCATCTGCCTGTGCTGATGGCACGTAAAGACACCGCCCTCGATCGAACTGGCGCTTGCACGGGTCAAATAGCAGTCACCCTCAACAGGTGATCCAGGTTGGCCTGCCTCAAAACTTTGGCAGCAAAGGTCGTTCAAGCACAGCTGGGCGCACGCTTCAACCGAGTGCTGCTGCAAAAAGACGCCGCCCGTTCCTGCTTCGGAGAACGTGCAATTGGCTTGCTTTGCAAAGTAGATTTCACTCACTCTTTCTGTCGAGAACAAGGGCGCTATGAGTTGCTGCGGCGGACGAATCTCCACCATGCCTGTGAGGGGGTTCTGGCAGATTTGGCCACACCACACCTACCAAATGACACGCGTTCATAGTGGTCCAGCTGCGAGATGGGTTGAAAGGCACCAGGGCTTGTCGTGTCCTTGGAATCGTAACTCAGCATGCAATCGCCCTCTTGGAATTGACCAACAACGCCGGCATCAAACGATTTACAACCTGCGTCTGCCAAGCAGAGCTTTGCGCATTCTTCCGGGGTGACGTGATCTACTGTATCCATGCGTACTCCACCTAGTTGTCAACAGGGGTGCTTTTGCAGGTCAGGGGGCCGTCGAGGCAAGGCAAGACGATGGGGTAGGCTGTGCTATGGGGGATGGCTCTCTGCGCAAGGAAGGGGGCCTGGCACAGGCTGTTGTACGTTGTACACGGGCCAAGTGCTGTACCTGCATTTGCACCGGCAATGTAGTGGTGGGCGTAGCGTCGAAACTGGTCCAGCGATGTCGTTGCATTGGCTCTACAGATATTATGAAGCGTCATGTCGCGCCGTGTCAACAAACAGGCGTTCATTGATATTCTGACAAGTGTCAAGGCACTCACCGGCAGTCAGCAGTCGACTGTGCTCCTCTCTCAGCCGTGTGATGGCCTAGGGGGCATGGCGTGCACTCTGTTGGGCTGATCTATAAATGTGACGGCGCAGACGCAGCCAAAGCAAGTGAGTGCACGTGATAGTGCTCCGATTCTTCACTGTGAATGTGCGATTGCGGTAGTTGTTGCTCTCAAAGCCAGGACGCGACGCTTGCAGGGCCACCGTACTCATAGACTTGAGTTACTCCATCTCGTCTTCCCTATGTTTGGTTTGCGTACACGTACCCAGTAGGTGTCGAAAGGGCAAAGTGTACACGGATGAAAGCCCGTTGAAGAGTATTGACCCCGCTCGCAGCTCGTTGAGGGCAGGTCTGGTTGCAAGCCAATAAAGTAAAGCCGGTATTAGAAAAGAGAGATGGTCAAAAACAAAGTTAAAGTCAAGCCTGACACCCTTCGTTGTACGCCTCGGTCCGATTCGCGGTGAGCCAACCTGCAACCACAAAAAACTGGCTGTTCCGATGTGATGGTGCTACAGGTTCGCCGTAAGTCGGGCTGTGGAAAACCACAATCGAATAGCGATTTCCAAGGTCCAGACTTGTCTAGCAAAGGGCGAAATAATATTTCAGCATGTTTAAAATAAGGTTGACGGAGAAAGCCAGGGGTCGCAAAACCACCATACACGACGCACCGGGACCAGCCAGGTGTATGTGCCAGTGTTGGGAGTATCGATGGCGACGTGGGTAACATAGTGGAGTCGAGCATAATTATCCGCCTCGGCTTGGTAGAGGAAGATATTCACCTGTCAGTCGAAAAGATGCAACGCTGAGAGCATTTCTGATGATTTGTGTCAATGCTGCACGCAGATGCGTACCCGAGTCACGCTGTTTGACGCCTGGTAAGCAATGGTGTAGCTTTGTCCACGATACAGTTGCTCGTCCTTGATCGGAGTGTAGACGACATCGATCGTCGGTGGAACCACCACTGCAGAGTCAAGCGACATGTGAGCATTTGAAAGGTCAGCAAGCATGATGGTTAAGCAGAGATACCCTCGCGCAACTAGACCGGACCGTCTTCGCATGAGGTGTCTTGATCGTCGGCGTCGAAGAAATACCCCGAGCTGGCATCACCAAGGCATCCAGGGCCCTGACACCCTACCGAGCTCGGACACAGGCAATAACCTACGGCAAGATGGCGTCAGCGAAAATGGCACGACGAAAAATACGAAACTAGAATGATGTATGTCGTTGTCGTGTTTCGTCGAGGGAGGGCACCACGAACCGAGGTTTGTAGGCCCTTGACTGCCGGCTGGGCAAATCTTTGCCACGCAAAATGATTGATTGGCCGCGCCAGGCTGTGGTGTGGTCTGATCAGCTGGACAGGGCACGCACGTGTGGGCCAACAAGCTATATGTGCCCTTGGCTACACAAAGCAGCACTCTTGAGTATGCTGCATCGTAAATCGACTCAAAGGGTTGAAATGAACGTTGACAACCACTTCAAGGCGTACCACAGGGCTGGCAAGCAGCTAGGCCGGCGGGCGGCCTCCAGAAACCGGGGGCACAAGAGTCTCGGGGTATCTGCAGCAGCGACTATTTGCAAGTCAATAAGGCAAGAGGCGAGATTTCTTGTCTGCGTCTACGCGAGTGCAAAAATGCATGCGTTACACACCTTGTCAAAGAGATCAAGTTGGTGAACTTCCGTGCCGGCCCTAAGCGTCAGATATTGTTTCAGGCAAAGGGGATTGCCTCATGAGCCAAGATACGCCCAAGCATCGATCACGGCCGTTGCCAAACCAGACGGGCCGATGTTAGTGGGCAAATACCCTTGTTGGAGGTTTGAGCTCATGGTACTGTTCGTGGCAAAGAGATAACAGGAGCCGAGGCGTGTTCCAGTGCCGGTGGCAAACGCCATGCAGTCGCCATGCAGCAAGCAGGCGGCAGCACAGCTCTCCGCTGACAACTATTTTGCATTCGCAGAACAAAGCAAATGGTCGTTGGCTCAAGCATGTGGATGGGCACGCAGCTGTACGTGCAAACACATGCTGTTGGGCGGCGCCTCCTCGCCGCATGAACTCACGGTTGAATAAGCCGCAAGAGCGGGCTCGTCGAGAAAGGCATTGGCACGCCGGACAAAGGCATCGCGGGATCTTGGCAGATTGGTTGAAAGCACATCGTAGTGCGTCACGGTCTCGTTTGTAATTTGCAGCGAATGTGTCAAGGAGGTGTTGCGGGTGTCCGCATAAAGAGCACACGAACCACGGAGCGTCGATCTACAACGTCATTGCATCGGAGTGGGCACGACCATTGGCTCCTGCTGAGAAGAGAAATCGAGATGAAATTGGAGGAGAAGATGGCAGGACTGACCGAAGTCGAAAGTCGAAGGACTTGCACAAAGTATCAAGTAAACAACTCTGTGCGCATTGCTCCAACGTTAAATCGGCGGTTGCACTGGAAGGAAGAAGCAAACTGTAGGCAAGAATATGGGCAGGCTGAGCTTCAAAGTCTGCTAGCAAGCTGCCTATACGGTTGCAGGGTGCCAGTAAAAGCACGAGGTTCCACAAGAAAAGGCGGTCCAATCATTGACGCAAAAGGCGCAAAGATGCAGACCTTTTGCCACGCTACAGTCAGAGAAGCTGGCAGCACCAAGGCCTGGGGTGGTAAAATTGTCGGCACATGTACGACAGGTTGTGGCATTGGTTGCCTGCGGGTGCGGGCCGGGATTGTGTGGCATGAGAAGAGGGAAGGAATTGCCTCAGTCAGATGGAAAGGGCATGGGAGTTCCAAAGTACCACTGTTCCTTGTGGGCAGGGTTGACATGGTTCGATGCCGCTGTAGCTGACATATCCGGCACGGCAAAGTTCACCAGCAAGACTGATGGTAAAAGGAGGGGAGACGTCTGCCGTGCAGCGGTAGGCATCAGGTGGCAGTGGCATGACGGATCGAGAACACCGGGCTCGCAAGACGAGACAGCCTCACCAAAGGCAGTCTCCACGTGCGCATCTTGAACCACGACGACGTAGGCGGTCTATGCAAGCGTGGCAGGGTGAGCTGGTGGACCGTGGCGGCCTCTCCAATGCCCGATGATCCGCACTCGCAAGGACGAGAAACACTGACCAAAGGCGTCTGACGCGCCGGAACAGTCCAGTTGTATGTGCCAGAGTTGGGGGCGTTGCGCACCACATCAACGAGGCCAGTAACGCGACCGGCTTGATATGTGCATGCCCAGAAAAGAAAAGAAAAGAAAGACAGAAAGTTTGGTGAGTGTATGGCTGCGCCCCGGTGATGTAATGTGAAGCTTTGCATTCTTCGGTGCTGGAAGTGGACGAGACGGGACAATTGAATCGGACACATACTCGCTTCATCTTGAAGGCCCAGTTTGATGTGCACAGTTGTCACCAGGGTAGAGGAGGACCAAGTCAGGCGGCATTCGGCGCTTTGGAAACAACGCGTGCCGTAGGTGGGCGAGAGAATGCGATGGATGGCCGGCGCTAAAAAAGAGGGTGGACAAAAAGCGAGAGAAAGCCCGGGATATAGCCGAGACCGGATGTCCGTGAGACTGAGCCGGGCAATCCGACTGATACCTACCCATGCTGGGTCTAGCTAGAGATTATGACGTACTGGCTTCGCAGGTACAGTCAGGACAATTCGCAGCGGAAAAATAGGCACTGCCATCCACGTCAAACTGGCAGGCAGCAATGTCTGGCGCCGTGCATTCGGTTGCAGGCGGACACAGGCAGTCACCGTTGGTACCAGCTGCACTGGACGGCGGGCAGCCTGGGCCTGGGTCTGCGTTGGCTGAAAGGAGGCCAAGCAGGAGGGATTTCGTCAGCACACACGCCACCAAAAGCTTGAGCATCACATCTATCTGTGTTACCCGTCCAACTGCTGGGCATGGTTGGTGCTTACCGGCTAGGGCGGCTGTGCATAGGGCGGAGTAGCCCACAACAACCAGCCAGGGCGCGGTGACGCGCATGGTTGAAGCGCTTGCTGTCTCAGGAGCTGCACGCTATAAGGACATGGGCCAAGCTGCCCTGGATCGCGCGTGGCACCTTCAAGCAACGTGTATCATATGCGCGCCCCGCGCGTACGCACGCCAGAGAGTGAGCGCTCAGGCCACACCAATGCGTCAAAGGGCGGGAGGGGGTCACAAAGCGTGTACCCACCAGCCGATCAATCATGTACAGTGCTAAGCCGGGGGTCTAGAAAGATGGTTGTGGTTGTTTCTTGGCAAATGAGTGCAAGCTGCTTGATGCCGAGTGAGGTGCCCGAGGATTTGAGGATTGCATGAGCAAGTACGGACATGCACATCCATCAGCAACACGACGTGTCATGCAGCGGCAGGGATACAGTGGCACAGCATTGCCTGTGAATCAAAGCCAACTGGGGAAGGAGGAGCGCGGTGGTTGCGGCAAGAAGGGTGCTCACCTCTTCATAGGGTAGATTCTGATGGGACTTGCTGGTCGGCGCGATTGCAGTCGACCGAGGGTCTTACTCCGCAAAAAAAAAAAAAGGCCAGCACACTGTGGTCAAGACGCCGCTGGATACGCAGCGCACATGTAGCGGACCAAATTGCGCCTTGGCTGATGGTAGAGATTCACATTGGTTCGAGCAGGTCGTGGTAGATGTGCCCACGGCCACGGCCCCTTGACACCAATCAGTGTAACAAGATCGGCCATCACAACTGGTCTGTGGGCGCCCACGGCCAATCAATCCTTCCGTCCCTGTCGTGCGCCTTGGGAGGTTGGCTGAATTTTGTCCTAGTATCCTTCTACTGTGACCCTGGGAAACGATCGAGTAAAAACAGACCAACGGGTCGCGGCGCGCCGGCGCGCGTTGCCGGGCAATTCATGCTTGCCGGCAAGCATTTGTTTGTCAGATTATTGCCCAGGACAAGCAGCAGACGAAACCAGCGAACGTCCACATTCGTGTTGAATTTAGAGGGGTAAGTGGGCAGGAGGTGTTGAAGGCCAGGGCTTGCTGGCGGCCATGCCCCTCGGACACATCAGACAATCGGTCGATATAACCCACTAAATTTCCGGAGGGAAGGGGGTAAAATGGAAAACGCTGGGGCCAGCAATGAAGACAGCGCACCCAGTGCGCTGATGAAACACGATCGAACAATACAGACAGACATCAAAAAGTCACCACACCATGTCGCAACCGACGCGCCGCGCGATGAGCACGCCGGGCCCACGCTGGGCTCAGAGCCAGGTTGTGATGCTTTCCTGGACAAAACCAAACAGCCTTGTGGTCACTCCTGGTACTGGAGGCAACAGTGGTCTAGGCGCTCGGTTTGCTCTCCTCAGTCCCAGCTTCCGTTTTGACTAACAGCCGAACCCGACGAGACGACAATGTTGAGATCATTGCAAAAGTTGAACCGGCCGCTCAGCCCACTCAATCAGACAGGTAGATTGCCTTGTCGTGGCATTTTAGCTGCAAGGTGTTCCCCTGGTGCTTGATGCAACTTACTCTGGGGATGATCCTTGTTCTTGATCAGAAAGGCGGCCAGAAATTCCACCGGGTTCGGAGGGCTGTGGGGCACGAGGGAGCCGCATGAGGAGGATAGAAACCCCTTGATATTCATCATCTGGCTTATCCCTGTAGAGTGCTTGCCGAGATTCACCACAAAGCCACGCACCGTTCCTTGGCCAAGACGGCCATGCCCTCCAGCAGCACTGGTACCACTGTGCGGTCCAGGTAGGTTCGCGCTGGCAGCGCCTGGAGGTCTGTCTGCTGCAACGCACTCTCACCAGCCGCGGCGGTCGCCACATGGGACTATTGGTTGAAGGATAAACATTATGAGCGTCATTCAGATACCTTCAAGCGGCTCACAGCTCAATACCCGGTGTTTATTTACCTGAGTCTCTTCCGTGGCATCCTCCACAGGTGCCTGCGTTTGTTCAGGCGCCTCTACCTCATCGGGCTCGGTCGCCATGTTCTACGAGTTTAAAGGACACGTTCAGAGAGATGGGCTGCCCAGCGCCGCCAAGGGACGGCAAGCGTCGGGACGACGAGGGAAAGAACGAAATGGTGTGGGGCGCAAGGGGCATTGCTACATCAACTATCTACAGTCTCGCAGTCACTCACCGTCGTCGACATGTTCAAAGTTTGAAAGCACACACCGTGACCCCGGACGTCAATACTGACAAGCAAGTAACCTTCGAAGCAAGGCCAAATCCCAAGACAATGATGCGTGGTACGACGACGCCGAGCCGATCAAGAGCACAAAAAAAGTCGAAAACCAAAAAAAAGAAAAAAGAGCAAAAAAAAAAGAAAAAAAGTGGCAAAAAGTGGAAAAAATGAATGAAAAAATCAGTTCAAGTGAGGCTATGCTTTCTGAGTGTTACACGTTCAACGAACGTGAGGCAGTTGCATCTCTTTGGCAACGACGAAACCGACGACGTTAGCCCTAATGATTTTGCTGGCGGGCCGGGACGGGGGAGCAGTGGTATCTGGCGATGGGGCGAGGCTTGGAACGCTCGGGGTAGTTTTGCATTGGAATAAATGTTTTGTGGAAAGCCACATGGCATGCAATAAATTCGTTCGACAACGATACGGGATATGGCGATAAAGTTTAACAAAGAGTAAAAGCACAAGGCTGGGCACAGCCCAGGTCGTGCCGCCATCACAGACATGAAACAATCAAAGAAACGCCATCGCAAGCTGCGGCGACGCGTTGGCGTCATACGGCACTGTGGCACGTGCGCGTCAACGCAGAAGGAGAAGCGGCGCTACTTTCGGGGTTGTGGCCCGACGCCGTGGCATTGGGTGTCACTGAGTGAGCCTGGGGCGGGCTTTGGGGAGGTTGGCTGGCCACAAGGTCGTCAGGACGTGCCAAGAGCTGCTCAATCATGTCGCACACAGCCGGATTGATCATGGCAGCATGCTGCAAGAGTCGAAGACTCTCATCGCAGAGCGTGTGCACGGGCCACCAATATGCATGTTTAGACTGCTCCTGCAGATACTCGCCCGCGTTATCACGAATGCAGACGAGCAGCATCAACAACTCTCGGACCGTATGCGCCAGCGTGGGCCAGGTGCCATCCAAAGAGAGGAGGAGAGCCTTCAACACGAGAGCCGCCTCAAATTGGACGGCTGCGGCCGTGCGAAACAGCACAGCGCACCGCCCGAGCGTCTCGAGACCCTTGCGACGCACAAAGCGCAGCGCGCGCACCGGCGAAGACACAATCTACAGAGCATCACATGCCACAGCTGGGCGTTAGTACCTCTGCCAGGTAGATAACCACGAGCAAGCTCACAGACAGTTCACCCGCATTAACAGCGACAGCTAGCCCTGCAGCAAAGCTTTTGAAAAACCAACGACAAAAGGGTACCGACTGCGCAGCCCGCGACACGCTAACCTGATTGGCGAGCGCACGGCAGTGGTAGGTCATGATCCCGGCTTCCTTGCCGTGCGCCATGGTCCCGTTCTGGGCCGATTCCTCAAGCACACCCAAATCCCAGCTGCCAAGCCAATGACGCTGTCGTTCAAGCAGTTCGTCCACCCCCAACCGCAAAAAGCGGCCATGAATAGCGGGCGGTGGAGGAAGGGACGGGGACGAGTCTGATTCACGTCGAGCTAACCCCAAGTGGTCGCGAACGGCCGTCACAAAGTGTGCATGGTCCTCGTCCAACATCTTCTGGTATCCAGGCGGTGTCATGACTCCTTCATCAGGGCTCTCATCCTCTCCATCGCCGGCCCAGGAGGTGGCGTGCGGTGCTTGCGCCCCCAGCAGCTCTGCGTCATCGTCGCTACCGGCATCCGCTTCACTGCCAGCCTGGCTCTCCCCCATCATTGCCTGGCTCGGGCACCGCGCCTCCTCGGCATCAGCATCGTGGTTGCTGTCGGTACTGGCCGCCAGGTCCACCTGTTCATCGCCCACACCGTGCGATGGCGTGCTGGCAAGTTGCAGATCCATGCTGTAGCGTTGAAGGTTTTGACTGCTGGGCCCGGCACTCAGCGCAGCACTAGATGTTGCCATTGTCGTCGCTTGCACGCTCGAGCGGCGCCCGTATAGGGAGCATGAGCCCTGGCCTGGGGCTCGAGCGCGGCTCAGCATCACGTCGTGGTCTTCCACGAGGCTTGCCAAGCCTGCTGACCCGGGGGCCGCTCGTGGTCCAGCCGTTGCGGGCTCAGCAAGATTGAGACCCGTCACAGCGTCACACGAGTGACGTGAGAGAGTCCAAGGCGCTTCGGCAAAGATGGATGAAGCTCCATCGCGCCGAGCCGCCGCTGACAAGACGGCGTTCACAGCGTTTTCTGCGCGGGTGGCGTTGACAAAGCCAGCGAGGTCAAGCGTCGCCATGGTGCGCGGCACGTTGCTTTGGGAGTCCAACGTCCAATTACGAAGCGCCCCCATGAGCTGGGCCGGTGCAAACGTTGGAAGGACGAGGTCCGAGGCCGCCGTGCGAATGTCTTCTGGTCCTGCCTGAGACCCTCGACCATGAGTGATTGTAGCCTCGTTGGAATGGGGACCACCTGCGGAGTTGGCGTCATGTGTCGATCTCACGTCTCGCCGCTGATACAAAAATACATCAACCAGCGGGGTGAGCGGAGCAAGGGATGCCGGTCGTATGACGCCAGCGCGAGGAGCCGGCTCAAACCAGGCCAATGGGGCACCGCGCTGCAGCATCACGGCCACGGCATCAGCAGCTTGCGCTGGCATTTGCCGCTCAAGGCGTCGCAGGGCGGCAGAGATAAGCGGGCGACCGTGGCGGTCGGGCATGTGCAATTCCTCCAGCGCGGCACGATGGTGTTCAACCTCACGGGCGTCCAAAGCAGTATCGACATCCAGCAAACGCGCGTAGCCCATGACCAAAGCAGCATTGAGACGGATCGCAAGCTGCACCGGCTGCAGCGAGCGGCGGCCATTGGTGTTGCCCAGCATGTTGCGTGGGTGCAATTGCCGCCAGAGAGAAACGGTAGCGAGCGCTTCATCCACGGGTCCCTCGTCCCGTTCAATGGCCCGAAGCATCTCACTCGGATACAAACGCCGCAAGAGCGTAACCACATCGTTGGCTTTCTTCTCCTCTTGCCGACGTGCTTCAGCCGTGAGATACATGGTGCGAAGCCAGGACGACGGAAGCGGCGTGCCCGCCGACGCGCGCATCAAGACCAGGAAAAACCAAAAAGCAAACCGCTCCACGCGCTGCTCGCCGCGGTATCGGGCAAGCAGCGAACCAAACGCTTTGATAGCCTGGCTGCCGTCAGCACCCACGAGGGCTTGGACAATCGGATTGTCATCGGGGCGAGACGATACAAAGATGGCCAGCACTTGCTCACCAAAGTGGATTGTAACCTCCGTGACGAGCCGCGTCGCCATTTCAGCCACGTCGCACCACAGCGGAGGCTTGGGCTCTGAACCAACGCTATTTGCAATGGCAAGCAAGGCAATGCCAACGAGATGGGTCACGACGCCTCGGGTACCCAGGCGACGGCGTACACTGGGTTCCTTGGCCCGTAAGACCAGCTCGTAAGCACAGTAAGCGGCATGATACATGACAGCAGCTTGATGCGGATGCATCACGGCCGCTGCAAAGACGACGGCGAGACCATCCTCTTCCAGCATCTCCATCGCACGTCGCGAGGACGTGAGCATCTGCAGGATGCGCCAGCAAACATTCCAATTTCCCAGTGGAAATATACGAGTAAAAACGGTGTTGTGAGGCGTGAGACAGGCAAGAGAAGAGGAGAAAAAAACAAAAACGGAAGACCCCGTGGCAGCCGAGCACAACTGTCGTCACTCAATGCACAGACCTGATCGGCGAGTTGGCGACAGGCAATGGCGACGATGGCCGGAAAGGACATCTCATCAGCAAGCATGGCCAACAAAAGGCGAAGGCCCAAGAGGTCGGGTGAGCATTGGGGAGGCAGAGGGCGTGGACCCCACGCATGCGGCAGTGCGCGGTCGCAGTCGGGACATGTTGCTCGATTGCCCAGGCTCCAATCTTGCACGCAAAGGAGGTGTTGATAGTGACCGCAAGGCAAGCGTACCACAGGCAAGGCCAAAGAAGTAGCGTCTCGGGCCTCGGACAAGGTGAGCAGGGGGTCCGTGCAGCACGGGCAAATCTTGCCGTGGGTTGACGACGGGACAAGCCGTCGTAATGTCGCCAAATCGCCAGCAACACTTTGCTGCTGCAGGTATTCCAATACCGTCGGGTTGGCCTTTGGTGGACTGAAGTTAGCGCGAAGCTCATCAATCAAGGTGTCGCGCTCTTGTCGTAGCGCCGCCCGGGGCCCTGCTAGACCAGGGCGGGCCTCGTCGTCGCACAACAGGCCCGCCAGCTCAGCCAATCTCTCTAAGTGAGCATGGTGGCGATTCAGCGCCTCCACGTGATGCCGACCGTACCGCGGGGGTAGGGCGTGATACTTGAAGGCAAGGCCTCGCTCAGCCAGAGTAATCAGCGTGTCACAAATGGCCACGTTGCCGGAGGAGCCAGCTGCAGCACACGAGTGCTTCCCGTCGTGATCGGGCAAGACCAAGTCCCGCAACAGGTCGTAAAGCATCGCACGCTTGCCCACTTTGGTGGCAACCTCCACAGCGCCGCTCCAAGCCGAGGCAACAACGGAAGCTTTGCCCCGACACGCAGCCTGACGAATGTCACTTTGTGGATCCCAGGCCAACTCACGCAGCCAGTCCTGTGTGGTGCTCATCTCTTCTGCACCAAGGTTTTGCGCTTCGAGGCGACCTGGCTGTGGGTGATCCGCCGCTTCCGGTGGCTCGCGTTGCGCTGGGATCGGTACTTTCGCTGAATGAGCCGCTGCTGGCGCGAGCGGATTGTTAGAGGGGCTGGGTTGCAGGTGCGCTACTGGTGCCAGCTCGGATTTGAAGCTCTGAACATCCTGTGCGGCAGGCGAGGGCGAAGAGTGACGGGAATTCACAATAGAAGGGGCTGAAGCGGCCACGTGCTTGTCAAAATCTTTTGGTGTCGGTGAGCCTGTCGCGTGTTTGCTGCAGGGTGGGCTCTCAGGTGGCGAATTTCCAGACGCAGAAACAGCAGCTGGGGCAGCGGACATGCAAGGCGGGTCGGCAGGGGTGGCAGACGGCTGGATCGAGGCCCCAGACGACGACGCGGCGGCGGTGTGCAAGAGTACCCAGACTTCCTCGGCCTTGGGGCTGTGCACACGGCGTTCGCTGGCTACGCTGTGTGCAAGTTGGGTCCAAGAGCAATGGTGCTCGGGCAGAGCAGGCTGGCGTAAAAGGCACAAAAGGAACCAAAAAGCCATGCGATCGATCTCTGGCGAAGCAAAGTGGCGAATGGCGGCAATCACAAAGCGCACGAGGTGTCCAGTGCACACTTCGTCTGGATGCAGATTTTGGTCAGGTTGAAGCTGTAGCTGCTGCTCAGCGAGCTGCAGACGCTGAATCAAGAGAGTAGGCTCGACCAAGGCCAATTCGGTGATGAGCCGGGAGGCTAGGTGAGCCAGATCGTGGGCAAGACGCTCGTACTGCTCTTTCGACTCGATGCTGGCGACAGACGGCATGGTACCCGAGGTGCGCAGAGCCAGGCCGAGGCTGAGAGCGTTGGCCAATGCGAGAGTGGCACACAATAGCATAGAGTCGAACTGGGCGGCGGTATTTAGAAGACCTGGGGTGGATACGTCCTTGACCTTGAGCAAGGTCTCGTAGATGGTGAGAACCGCATGGTAGCAGATATCAAGACGGTTTGTGAAGCGGCGCATTTGTGACAAGATGAGAGGAAGAGCGTCATGTTGAAGGACGACGGCCGCACGGCGTGCGCTTGTGAGGCTGTGATCGGCGAGCGCGCAGAGGGCAGCAAGGCAGCACTGGGGCTCGATGTTGGGGTCGCGGAGTGTGGTGATGAGCTGCTTAATGAGGCGCGAGGCACAAGCGTTGGGCCAAAGCGGGGGCAAGGGTTTCGGATCACAGGGTCGCTCCAAACGACTGGCCAGCAGATGGCGCAGCTCTCGGCGACGTTGCTCAAATGCCTCGTTACTCATGCTTGTCGAAGCAGGGTCAGCATGAAAGGCGATTTCTTCAAGCAAGTGCTTCAAGGGGTGCAGTGAACCGATGTGGTGGCGGCGGTAGGCCAGAATGGGGCCGTGATGAAGGTGGGGGACGCCAGCTTCAATGAGAAGAAAGAGGCCTTCAATGACACGATTACTACCAGCTTTGGAGACGGCGTTGCGTCCGTGCGCGTCAGCGGCACACAGGTCCACGCCGCGATACACAAGGCGACGAATCTCCCCAACGTGGCCGTTGGTGGCGGCGCTGTGAAGTTGCGCCTCAAGAGGAGAGAGTGTCCGAGTGGTAAAAAAGTGGATGCCATCGCGAAACTTTTCAACAAGCAATGACTCGCGAGCGGCAGCAGGCGCGAAATTTGAAACTGGGGTTAACACGCCAGGCGCTGGGTCGCGGGCGGGCAGCTCACATGAAGGACCACCTGGGGCAGCACCGGCCAATCCACCCTCTTTCGCACAGGGGGCTGCGTCGTCAGACGCATCTTGACTCCCTGAAGTGTGCGGGGAGACGGGTAAAAGAGAACTGCTCGGAGAGCTGCTGGGTGGGCAAAGGCTGGGAAAGCTGCTCTGAAAGTCTGGGTGGCGGGCGTTGTAGCTAGTCGAGGAAAGGGCCAAGGCGGAACGCTCAGATCGAGAAGCACGCAGGGAGCCGATACCACCAACGCCGTCGTCTGTCATGGCGACTCGCAACGACAGCAGCAAGGAAAGAACGGTAGTTGCGGGGGACCATGTTTCGTTGTGGTATCCCGTGGTACCCTGTAGACAGAGGGCTTTGCTGGTCTCAAAGCGGCCTGAGGGTGCAGACAAAAGAAGCGAGCGAGGTGAGACGGCACCGGGCCTGCCAGGGTGTGCGAAGGCTCGAGTACAAGAGCGTGGCAGCGCACCATTGGGTGTGAGGATGAAGATGTCAGGCGCCTGGGCGGGGTAGCGAGGCGGGAAGACAAGGCGACCCCAGTAGAGGCCACCCTCGTAGCAAGTGCCCGTTTCGCCTGCAAAGCAAAAGTGCCATTCTAACAGGTTATCTTCCCGAGGCGCCACGTGCAGACCATCATCAGCGGCAGCGAGGCAGGCGCGCAGCTCCTTTTGAAGCCGGCGAATGGCCATGGCGCCGAAAGAGTCGCAGCCCTTGACTCTGTCATGCAGGCACACCAGCCAAAGCAACCAAGCGGGGGAGAGCGCCCAGAGGCCGTGTCCGGCCTGTGGTCAGCTCCCCGCGACCGCCGCTTGAGGTCTGGAATAGAATCAAGAAGGGGGTGGGGTTGGGCTGGAACCAAGATCTGGAGCCACTCGTGTACAAAATGGCGTTGGCAAGCGGGGGACGGTGCTAGCTGGTGCAGACAGGTCGAAAAGTGGGCTACTGCTGGTTCAGAAGTTAAGTGGCGCGGCATAGGGGGACAAGAAGACACAGGCAGATGGAGAGAGAGGGACAGTCGGACTGCTGGGACAATGGCCGAAGCCAGCACGAGGGGCAACCCGTTCCTTTGACCGTTCCTCCTGTCAAGCGGCAACAAGAGAAAAAACACACGGGAGGCGAAGGAAGAAAGCGTGCATGCGTCTCGTGGTGCCCATCGGGCAGCGTTGGCAAAACAGGGCTCGCTTGGTGGTGGTAGAGGGGGGTGCGGGGGGGATGCAAAGGGCAGAAGGGGGTCCAGAAGTCAGAGAATAATACGTAAAAGGTCACGGAGACCAAGACGTCAAGGGGAGGAGGAGGAGGAGGGGGTCCAAGATGCCGGGGTTGGGGTTGACGGCTTGTGTTTTGATTGCTCTCGATCAACAGTCATCCAACATCCAACAAAAATTCCTCATGTGGCTGGGGGTGGGTCCTGAACAAGCTGCCGCCACGAGCAGCTGGCTCCGTGGGTGGCAAGAAGGCGAGGCGACACGGAGAAGGAGATGGAAAAGGAAGGGGGGGGGGGGGGGGAGGGCGATAGCCGGAGGAGGAGCACAAGAGCTGCTCTTGTGCTGCAGGAGAAGGAGCAAAAACAAGAAGCAGCACAGAGAGAGAAACAGAGAGAGAAGCAGAAACAGAGAGAGGGGAGAAGTAGAGGAGAGAGACAGAGAGAGAGATGAATCGGTGAGAGAAAGAGAGTAAGAGAAAGGTATAAACAGCAAAGGCACAGAGGATTGGCTCAACTACATGTACCACAGAGAGAGAGAGGCAGCGAGAGAATTTGGTCAAAGAGAGAGAGAAGCAGAGAGAGAAGCAGAGAGAGAAGCAGAGAGACAAAGAGAGAGAGACTCTTTGTTGGGCAGCCTGCTGCTATTGACGTTGTGTTCTCTCGAGTGTGGGCTGTTATCGTTAGGGCTCCCTTGGTGGTGACTCGATGGGTGTGACGAACTGTTCGGATGACGAAATAATGTCATGACCCTCGATGAATGGCAGCGAGCCTGACTTGTCAGACAAAAGCTGGCATCTGCCATAACGTCAGATAAAAAGTTGTGTCTGACAATTCGGGGTCACCGTCGTGCTTCTGCGTACAAAAACACCACCGCCACAGCGCTTATCTGCATGCATGCAAAGTAGGATCTCATACGGCATCGTGATCGGATCGTACAAGTGCCCTCGCATAAAGCCAGGCGTCGAGCATTGTTTACAGGTAGTACATGAAGGTGGCCGTGATGATGAGACCGCGTCAAAAAAAAGTTGAGAACAAAGAGACAGCAAAGTGGGCGTTGAAGCAAACGACCGAAAATCATAGCAGCAGCATTTTGCCGTTCACTCAAGACGCTGGGCCTTGAAAGCGACGGCCCGTGTCGTGCATCCGTCCCTCTTCCTCCTGTGCTCAGCGGCGCCGAGGCGCACCACAGGTACCTCTGGCTCTTGGCTGCCAAATAGCAGCGCCGGGCGTCCTTCTTCTCGAGGTTCTTGTCTTGCCTGTGTTCGGAGCACTTGGTATTGATCGTTTGCAACTCAAGAGCGTGGCCGTTCGACCACCGGCACGATGCGGCTCGACGTTGTTGTTATTTGGCTGGCCTTGCTTTCAGCATCCGCCGTGGCTGGTACGTCTCCCTTCTGGACTTGCATGTGGTGGAGCCGCACACGGCACATACCTGGTCTGACATCTGCGCACTCATCTTCAGCTCCGCTCACCTCACTTTGCTTGAACTGACTGGCACATGGTACACGCTGACCCCTTTGACGTAGTATCGTCCGAGCTGGGTGCTCAAGTGGCTCTCAATGCCTCCTCTGGCCTGCAAATCGATAACGAAGATATTGTCAAGACAGACGCTCGCGATTCGTGGACTGCAGGTGTCATCAGCCAAGTCAGGGCAGACCTCTCAAGCGCGCTGTCGGTCGGCGTGCGCATAGTACCAGCCCATGCCGGTGATAGTCTCATGGTTGGATTTTCCCGCGAGGTACCAAGCAGCCTGGCCGACTATCGCTCGCTTGACTTTGCTCTGCATCTCTCCCTCGCCTCTGGCGTGCCCGTACTCCTGGTTTGGCGGCGAAACACAATCCTGGGCCGTCTCGAGCAATCCTTTGGGTCAAGCGACCTTCTCGATGTCTACGCCGATCAAAGTGGCCGCTTTGCCGTCGCCCTCAACAACGTCACCATCTACACGTCCACCTTCTCCCGCGACTACGATGCCTACTACTTTCGTGCCGTCTTCTCGACACCCAACGCCACCATCTCCCGCCCTCAATGGCTCACAGCCCAGCTATTTTGCCGCACAATGACCTGTGCCGACGCTGGCCAATGTCATCCCGCCAGCCCCTGCAACTTGGGTGTTTGCACCACCACACCAGCTTCCGGTATCCCTTGTAACGACGGCAACGCCACTACAGTTGATGATACGGTAATTCTGTCGTGCTTTGTTACTTCTCATCCTTCAGCCTTTCGTTTCCATCTGTCCCATCGCACACAAGGTGGCAGGATCTCACCCACTCACTGACTCATGCACCCATTCATCTATTCCCTCATCCTTGCTCACTCTGTGTTTCTCCCCGCATCGGCTTTGTTCTTGTCTCTTGTGAATGTCACCGACTACGATGCCAATGGATACGGGTGCAGTGCCTGGACGGCATTTGCCTGGTCAGTCAACCTAGACTGGAGAGCCGTACGACCCGGGGCAGGAACCGCCTCTGCGCTGTTGCTCATGTCTCGTGCTTGATGCCTGCTGCCCACTTTCTTCTCTGCGTAGGGCCGTGACCCATGCGCGGGCGTGCAATGCCCCGGGGATCAATGCCACTCCGCTGGCCACTGTGAAGGTGGTCAATGCTATGCCGGCGCAGTGTTAGGCGATGGAACACCGTGCGCCCTGACCAACACCAGCACGAGTATTGACGCGGGGATTTGTCTTGCGGGTGTCTGTCGTGCCCCTATTACCACGACGTCGTCCACTTCTACCACCACAACATCCTCCACAACCACCACGTCGACAACCTCCACCACCACGGATCCCTGTGCGTAGCTCGCTCGTTTGCCCTGATCGAAACTCGCCTCGCATGTTGGACATTCACGGCATGCTTAACAGCACCCATGCGTCCACGCCCTCCGCTCTGACTCTCACGCTGATACCACATCTTGCTTTTGTCGACGTCTCCACATTTGACAACAGGCCACGCGGTGCAGTGTGCATCCGATTCATGCCATGAACCTTCTGTTTGTAGCGGGGGCAGGTACGTGCTTCTTCGGGTCTCGCGTTGTCACCGCAGGAAGAGTCGGGACAGGATGCCAAAGCTCATTCCTTCTTGTACAATGCGGTTTGCTTTTTTTTTTCTCTCTCTCCCTGTCTTTCTCTCTCTCTCTCTCTCCCTGTCTTTCTTTCTTTTTCTCTTTCCCCTGGTTCTGTCTGTTTCCTTGCGGCCTCGCCCGTGCAGCTGCTTCGCCGGACCGGCCCTAGCCGATGGCTCAGCTTGTGACGACAACAATCCCATTACTATCGAGTCGCTGTGCTTTGACGGTGTTTGCGTGTACGTCATTGCTTCTTCCCCGCCACAAGACACCGTCTCGCCATTGACGGCTTCTTTGCAAGGCTCATTCAATCTCCGCCTGGCTACAGTGGGACAAAAACGCGGTGCTTCAACGTTACTTGCGAACCCCGCGCTTGCTATGCTGCGGGCATCTGCAATGATCAAACGGGCCAATGCGACTACACTGCTCTGCCCGAAGGCACGGATTGCGATGATGGGGATAACGTCACCATCGACGACAAGTATGCCCACCACGCATGCCCTTGTGGCTGGCTTCTAGTTGCCGTGTTAAGTCTGGCCCATTTCATGCAGTGACTCGTTTCTCACATCTTTGCCCGTGGCTTCATCGCGTGCCTATTCTGGGCACTTTCGAATAGGTGTTATTCGCATGTTTGCACGGGGTTGGATCCCTGCTTTGGCTTTGACTGCGTGCCACGCAGCCAGTGCCACTTGGCAGGTGTGTTCATGCCGCTGCTGATTCACACCTTTCCCCTTTCAGTGTGCTCTTCCTTTCAAACTTATATTCCACCACCTCACTGGGTTAGGCGAATGCATCAATGGTGCCTGCACCAACCCCGTTAAACCCGTCAACACGACGTGTGCGTCTCAGAACTTTGGATTGACCTCTCCTCGAATTGCCGATCTGCCCCTGGCACCGCCAAGTTTACTTTGCCGCCTCTCATGCTTTCGCATGTGATGAATGGGCTTCTCACACACAGGCGATGATGGAGATAGTACAACCGTATTGGATGCTTGCCAAGCCAATGGTGCATGTGTGGTGCGTCGTGCATCTTGTCACTACCTGCTCGCCACGACATGCGTTGATGCTGCCCGTTTCACACTGTTCGTAGGGTGTAAATTTGTGCGCCAATGTCGAGTGTTTGCCGGTGTCTACCTGCCATCTTCCTGGCGCCTGTGATTTCCAGACTGGTCTCTGCTCAATGGGACCCGTCAAGAGCGATGGTAGCGCGTAAGCCCTGAGGACTTGGAGCGCGCCGTCAAAACTCGCATGGGGCGTCGTCTCACCCCCTCTTGCTCGTCTGTTCCTCACCCGCCCCCTGTCTCCTCCGCCCATAATCAACTGCGGCGTAGCTGCGACGATGACAACAACCGTACAGTGGAAGACCAGTGCCTGGATGGTGTTTGCACTGGGGTTGACCGGGTAAGCTCGTGTTTCCGCTTGTTCATCTGCCTACTCTGCCAAACTTGCCGTTGACCTTGAATATGTGCCTTGACAGTGTCCCACGCCCTGCACGGCACTCTCCGTTTGCCACGCTCCGGGTGACTGCGACCTTTGGACCGGCATCTGCACCAATCCTTTGCTGCCTGACGGCACCCCGTGCGTTTCATCTGCACTCCCCGGTGCCAACTTTTAGACGCACAGACGCTCACCCGTCCACGGCTCATGGGGATTGGTGCGTAGGTGTGACGACGATGACCCCGAGACAACTGGTGAGCGTTGTTTCGATGGGATATGCTCGGGCGTTCGCCTTTGTGAAAATGTGGTCTGCACGCCGCTGTCTCCATGCCACGATACGGGCATATGTGATCCCAACACGGGCACTTGCTCCAATCCCGTGAAAGCAACGGGCATCTTATGCCCGGACACCGACGGCGATGTGTGCACAACCGCCTCTTGTCACGTCGGGGAGTGCCTGCAAACGTCGCCAACTGCCTTTGGTACGTCTCATGATTTTTTTTTTCCGCTTTTCACACACGAGCCCTCTCGAACTTGACGTCAATCGTCAGGCAGGACCCGCTCTCATTCCTTAAATGTCTTATTCATTCGTCTTAGGTGTTGGCTGTGATGATAACAACACTTTGACCGACGATGACATTTGCCTTGGTGATGGCACGTGTGCCGGTGAAGGTCAGCTGATTAGTTCTTGCAAAGTTTCATCTCAGATCGTGTGCTTGGCCGCCGTGGCTGAGCTGAGCTTGACCGCCACTTTGCTGCGCTTGCAGATCGCTGCATCGGTGTGACTTGCATTGCCATTGATGAGTGTCACGAACCGGGTACCTGCGCCAATGGAATCTGCAGCAACCCTGTTGCAGAGGATGGAAGTAACTGCAGCACTGTGGCCTTTGTTGCTCGCAACCCGCGCGTGAGTTTTCCTTGCCCCACCTGATGCCCAAATGTTTCCAAGAGGTAGCAAATTCTCCGTGAACTACATGTAAGCTGACCTCTTTCTTCTTCCCTCCATTTTCCCTTTTCAAGTGTGAGGACGGCGTCTGCATTAGTACCCGTGTCTCGCCGTCGGCCTGTCTCTTGTCCGTGGATTGCCGCAATGGCCAGGTAACCCCCGATTCCGTTTGAGCCGCCTGTTTCGGTCTTTGGTTGCTTGTCATTCGTCAACGCTTGACACATCGTTCGGCTTGCTTGATGACAGTGTCCGCTTTTTCCGCTGGCCCCCGATGGTTATCCCTGCGTTGATGTGGACGAGAATGAGTGCACAGCAGCCGAGTGTCGCTTTGGCACGTGTATCCAAAATGTTTTGCTTGACAATGGCTCTCCGGTCAGTCATTGGTGCCTTGCTCATCACATCACCGCCCACCTGCGACTTTTGACAGCAACCTTGTGCTATTGCGTGCCTTGACAACCATCGTTAGTGCACCGATAATAACGCGGCTACCGAAGATGAATGTGTTGGAGGCGTCTGCGTTTCGATCGACCTGTGTGAAGAGAACGATGTTGTGTGCGAGAGCCCACCGACGCCCTGCCATGAACCGGTGGGCACTTGCTTTCGGGGCAACTGCTCCTACTCGTTCAAGCTCGTCGGGGCTAGCTGCGACGATGGCAATGAACAATCTGGTGTTGGCACCTGCAATGCTGCCCATGAGTGCATTGCTTCATGTACGTCTTTTTTGCCTTCCATCTCGGTCAGCCTATGGGCTTTCTCAATCACCGGTGCTCATTTCAATGTTTGCAGTCCCGGCTACGGAATGTACTTTGGCAGGAACTTGCGTCAACGGCCTCTGCCCAGCACCAGCCAACCGCACGGAGGGCACCGCCTGTACAGCTATCAACGAGGACACATGTACCGAAGCCCTATGCTTTGGTGGTGTCTGCGTGCAAAACATCCCTCGCGCTGGTTTGTGATTCGGCTTCCATTTTGATGTGCCAGAATGTCTTTGATGCTGGTCTCACAATGAACGCCGTCTGCAGCCACCAACATATCTTGCGATGATGAGGATGAGAGCACAGACTTTGATACTTGGTACGTTTGTGTTTGCCTCATATGCTGAGCGGTGTGCTCGCGCACTTCTTTGGACCACACATTGCGAGCTTGGCTTTCCCTAGCCATGGGGTTTTTGAAAGTGTCTTGTTGCAATCTCATCTCATCTGATCTCCCTTGTGCTCTGCACCTTGCCTCGGACCACATTTTCCTGATGACCTTGATCATTACAGTCAAGCGGGCATCTGCCGAGGCATTGATTTGGTTGGTTTCGATTGTTGCTCGGCCCGTTTGTCCAACCTGGTCGCTTTTTTTGACAGGCGGGGGGCCTTTTTCTGTTCATTTTTGTATTTTCTTTAGTGCGTTCGTGACAACGTAACTTGCGCACCCCCCGAGAGTTGCCGAGCTCCCGGCGTCTGCTTCCGAGGCACCTGCAGCTACGACCTTTTGCCGGTGGCCACGCCCTGTGATGACAACAACGAACGCACGACCACCGATATTTGCCTTGCCAATGGCATTTGCATCGGCGAAGACCTGTACGCTTTTCGCTTTTCTTGATCCTGCATCCTACTTTTGACTTGAGCAATGGACAGCGGCACAACACCACCTCCTCACGCAGGCTCGAACACCCCTGTATGTAGATGCGTCACGGAAGACATCGTATGCAGCCCACCAAACCAGTGTCAGCATGGAGCTGAGTGCCTGCGTGGTTCATGCCTGCCTCCGCTCAACATCACCGCGGGGACGCCATGCGATGATGAGGACGCCGAAACCAGGGACGATGTCTGCGACGGCTGGGGTACTTGTGCCGGAATTAACCCTTGCATCGTGAACAACATCACCTGTGATGTTGCACCCAGTCAATGCCATATGACCAACGGCACATGTTTTTTGGGCTCATGCTCGTACGAATTCCGACCTGTCAACAGCAGGTACGTACGTGTATTGTTGTGTGGCAGGGCTACGAGCACCGCAGAGGGCGTTGGTGTGTGTCTTTTTCATCCAGGTCTGCCTTGATGCTCACTTGGTCCCACTTTTTTTCTTTTTCCTTTTCCATGTGGACAGCTGTGATGACGGGATTGAAGCCACCGATGATGACATGTGTGATGGCTTTGGCACGTGTTTGGGCGTTGATTATTGTGTTGCCTGGGCGGTGACATGCGAGCCCTTGAATCAGTGCCACCAAGCGGGTGTCTGCTCTCATGGAGAATGCTCCCCCAGCCTGCCCCTACCCAACGGCACGATCTGTGATGATGGCTTCGCTCATACCATCAACGATACGGTGAGCCTGGCGCTGCCAGTCACTGCCCGACCCCTCCCCACTGCGTTGCACGCCCGCTTGGCTTTTTGATTTCATTTTAATTTTTTATCATGCCTTTCTCACTTTTGTTTCCGGGGGGTCGCACGCTGCTTCTTGACTGGTAGTGCTCGGCGGGCGAGTGCAGTGGGCTTGACTTGTGCGCAGACGTAAACTGCACTGCCTTGTCACAGTGCCACAGTGTCGGCGAGTGCGATCCCCAAACGGGTTTGTGCAGCAACCCTTTCCGCCCGGCCGGCCTGGCCTGTGACGACGCTGACAACCGCACGACCAGCGATCAGGTAAGACGTGCTACCGTGGTTGTGTGGGACACGGCCGATCAGAGCGAATCTTTGACTCTCCTTTGCTTGCCATCTCTGATAGTGCATGGCCGGTGTGTGCGCGGGTGTTGATCTTTGCGTGGCCAATAATGTCACATGCCCACCCATCAACCAATGCCATGAGCCGGGAACTTGCTTCCAAGGTCAATGCACCATCTTGCCAAAGCTCGACGGCACTGTGTAAGTGTCGACTCTTGGCAGGCATTGGAACATGGTTCCATAAGGGACAGTGAATACTCATTCCCATCCTGCACCTGCTTGTCGGTCCTCCACCCCATTGGACAGATGCGATGACGGTCTGGCCAATACGCAAAATGACGTCTGCACCGGTGGCCTTTGTGCTGGCATTGATCCGTATGTTTTACGACCATGCCTGTCTTGCTGTAATTGGCCCCAGGCCATGCCTCCAGCCTCGCTAAGGCATGCACAACCGTATGGAATCCATGCTTATTCTGCTCGCCTCACCCCCCTCTTGCTTTTTTTTTTGTGATCCAGATGTGCGGGGATCGTCTGCCAGGCCCAAAGTGTGTGCCACGAGGTAGGCACTTGCCGAAACGGAGTGTGTGATGATCCGTTCCGTGCTGCTGGCAGTATGTGCGACGATGGTGACAGCAGCAGCTACTTGGAGCAGTGTTTCGCCGGTATTTGCGTGCCACAGTTGGCTTGCGACCCAAGCACGTGTGTAGCCTGGCGTGAGCTGCGTGGCTTGGAACCCACCATGAACTTTGGCCTACGCCGAGTGGCACGGGTGGACGGCTGGAACGCCTCGGCCGTGTCGCTCGATGGCTTGTCAACCAACGATACCCGGGCCGGGGTGCGCTTTACTCCGGAACAAACGGATGCCAACCTCGCTTTTGGCCTAGGCTCAGAGGTTCTTACATCGCAGTTTGAAGACATGGCCTTTGCCGTGTTTTTGGCAGAGGGCGGCAACGCCTTTGCGTACGAAGCTGGACGCTTCAAGAAAAGCTTGGGCACGTATGCCCGAGCCTCGACGCTCGAGCTCCTGGTGAATAGGCAAGGACGAGTTGAGTTTGTGGTTGATCATCAGCTGCGTTACACGAGCGAGTCAGTGGTGAATCTTCCCGTGCATGTTGATGTGGCCCTCTTCGGCGGTGCCGCTGTTGTATCCAATATATCCTGGGTCACGAAGCAGGAAGCCTACTGTGCACGTCAGACCTGCGCACCTGCCACCGACTGCTTGCTGGCTGAGCAGTGTGTACTTGGCGAGTGCGCGAGCCCCGTACCCCAACCAGTCAACACCACGTGTACTCTCAGCGACGACACCCTCCGAGACTTGCGCTGCAATGGCGCCGGAACCTGCATTGGCACGCGTGAGTCTGGCTTTTCTGCTTGTATGCGTGCCGACGGTGATCGCTACGCTACCTCTCACTCGCATCCGTCATCTCGCCCCATGCAGCCAAGTGCGCTGGTGTCATCTGCCCGACGCCAGGGCAGTGTGAGATGCCAGTCAGTTGTGAACCCACCACGGGTCTTTGCCCGGTACTGCCCTTCCGACCCAATGGAACTGAGGTAGGTGCCGATCCAGAGGTGCTTCCAAATCTCATGGTAATAGCTGTCTTTGCTGAAGCGCACTGGTCGGCAAATAGCCATTCACCCTTTTGTGTCGTTGTTGGTGTGTTTGCTCAGTGTGATGACGATATTTTTGAGACGCTCGAGGACACCTGCCAAGCTGGCGTTTGTCGTGGCATTGACTATTGTGACGCCGTGGTATGCGACAGCCCACCCACCGTTTGTTTCGAGGCTGTTGGTTCATGTTTGCACGGCAATTGCAACTACACCTTTCGAGGCATCAACGCCACGTAAGTATGAGCGATCGTTGGAGCTTGGCGCCAACGCTTGCAGCCCAGCATCATAATGTTTCAAAACAATCTTTGCCACATTTGATGCATGACTGCCTTTGCTTTGCACACGCCTTGCAGTTGTGATGACGGAAACGAGAGAACGACCAATGACCAGTGCCAAGCTGGTCAGTCATAACTTGCAATTTTCAAAAGTGTTTCCACCAGAGAGGAGGGGAGGGGGCCTGCTTTTTTTTTTTTTTTTTTTTAATTGTTTGGGGGGCGGGGGGTCTGAGCGAGGGCTAGCTCACAATGATCATTGATGCTAGATGGGGTATGCGCGGGTGTCGACCTGTGTGACGAAGTCGTTTGTGCTCCAAGCCAATGCCAGACCAACGCCTCATGCCTACATGGCATTTGCTCGTTTGACAACTATCCATCAGCGTATCTCTGCAATGATGGTGCGTTGGTTATTGACAATCTACAACCCACAATGCACTTCCTGCGTTCCAGCAAGCGCCTGTCCTATCGCTGGGCAAGGGTCCGCTGCATCACCTCACCCTGCTGACAAATGTGTTGATCCGGCCTTTCTATTCGTATGGCCACTGTTCACGACAGGCAATGCCTCCACCTTCCCGGATACATGCGAGGCTGGAGTGTGCGTGGGACAAGACCCTTGTCTGGGAGTCGACTGTCGAGCGCCCTCAGATTGCTACGAGGACGGCACATGCGTGCTTGGCGAGTGCGTCTTTCAGTTTCGACCAGCAAATACCAGCTGCGATGACAATAACAACCGCACCATCGACATGTGCGACGGCAATGGCGCGTGCATCAGCACGGACCCCTGCCAAGGTCTTGCCTGCCCAGAGCCCACAGATCATGAATGCCAATACTCAGAAGCCTGCTTTTTGGGCCAGTGTGGTGACATTATTGACCACCCCTTGGGGACGGCCTGCACCTTTGACGATGGCAACCCCTGCACACGCGGTGGTTGTATTGCCGGTTCCTGCACCAGCTTTCACGTAGCTGACAACACGACCTGCAACGATGGGTGTGTCCCCTCAACGCTTCATCGTGGCGTCGCAAGGCAATGGTATGCGCAGATCTTATAGTGTGCTTTTGGCTGGCCGCATTCAACTAGGAATGTCAACACCGTCGACGACCGGTGTCTTGCCGGCACATGCGTGGGGACTGATCTTTGCCTCAACGTGGAATGCCAACCACTGACGCAGTGTCACCAGGTACTTTGCATCAAGCCGCAACGTCAAAGGGCTACCTTCGAAATCTTCCTAACATCATCACGCTTTCCCGTTTTTTGTTTGCATTTGCGCTGAATAGACCACAAGCTGCGTGGCTGGTTCGTGCCCAGTGTTGCTCAAGCCGGACGGCGCTTTTTGTGACGATGGCAACCCAGAAACCATCAATGACGTGTGCACGTTGGGGCAATGCGCGGGCTTTAGCCTGACCTGCACGCCCCCGAGCTCAGCTACTGAGGCGGTTCGCTTCAGCAACGGGTGTGGAGGTTTTGACCAAGAGACGCGTTGGCTGTACACGGCACAAGCCACCAGCGGCTGCGTTTGCCGTTCCGGCACACTGGGCGGCCTTTTTGCTGGTAAGACTGCCTTGACTCGCCTTGATGCCTTGGAAGTTGAGCAAATTCAATGGACATTTGCGACGACAGAGAGAGACTCACATGGGTATTTGCTTTTGGGCACCCCCTCCCCCGTCCGGTCGTTTTCAGATCAATCGGGTGCGATTCATACAGCTACGCAGTGCGCACAGGCCATCTGCGGTGGCGGCTCATTACTGCAATTTGATCAGTGCAGTTTCAACGGCGAGATTGTCAGCACTGGCACCTGGCAGGAGAGCACAGTGACGGTGCCGCTGGCCTATCAGGATGTTTTGTGCGAAGAGGATGGCACTCCCATCACGCAGCGACCCGCCACATCCACGGCAATTACCACGACAGTGACCACGAGCTCGACGACCAGCACCATATCAACAATCGGCAGCACACCACTCGGGACGACCACAGTCCCTTTGTCGTCTTCGAGTAGCTCTTTGGGTTTAACAACATCGAGCTCTAACACTCGTTCTCCTGGCATTTCCACGACGCCTGCACACACCTCAACCTCTTTTGCTTCTTCTGCCACCACGACTTCTCCTCATGCTTCTTCCTCTACTACTCCTACAACAACAACGACCACCACCACCACCACCACAACAACAACAACAACAACAACAACGACGACGACGACAGTCCCGCCAACAGCGCGGCCGGCGACTGGGGTGGAGCACGTCATTCAATGGAACGTCAACTTGCCTTTGGCTGAGTTGCATCAGCGCATCAGGCTGGGCGATAGCATGACCTGGCAATGGGACTCTGATGCCATGCCCATCAACGTTGTCTCTGGAACCAGTCGCATTCCTGATGGTCGCTTCACCTCAGGCCTCCCCCGTTATCGTGGTTTGTACACCCACTCTGCCACGTTTCGAACTGTCGGCACTTACAACTATTATTCACAATTCCAAGCCTACCTTGCCGGCTCGGTGACTGTCTTCAACCCGGTCCGCATCATCGAGACCTCGGCCACCTTGCCCGACAACGTGGTTGACTGGAGTCTGCAGTACAATGCCCCACCTCTCCACGTGGCCACGGGCGCAGTTGTCCGCTTTCAGTGGGACAACAATGTGCCTTTGGACATTATCTCTGGCTTACCATCAGACGCAACATTGGGCGTGCTCTTCAGCAGCCCGGCTGCTCGGTCCAGCAACTTGACAGTTGCTTTCGAGGTCTGTACAAACGCGCGTGGTTGATGTTGTGCCTCCTTGCCCCTTCTTTCTCTGTGCATTTCAACTCACCGGAGAGAACAACTTTGCTTCCATAGGCGGAAGGTCGGTATTACTTTCATGCATCGCAATACAGCTTTCTGCAGGGGCTGATTGTTGTCGAGGGTATGTTTTGCCCTTCTCTTTTGTCACTTGCCGCAGCTTTACTCGAGCAACGGCATCCGACTCACGCCAAGTCTCCCGTTGTACCAATAGATGCCGCACCCACTACAGCCACACCTGTGATTACCACAGCATCTTCAACCACCTTGACTACCACCACCACTACTACCACCACCACTACCACTACCACTACCACTACCACTACCACTACCACTACCACCACCACTACCACCACCACAACAACAACGCTGCCCACAACTACAACACCAAGGATTACGACCACGACTGCTGTGTTCAATGGGACCACCGTGCTGGCAACCGTGGAGGGCAACGCGGCCCTTAGCATGTTTGATCAGCTCCTGTCCGGCTCGTCCATTGTGACTGAATTGGGTCGCCGTGGCCCCTGGACCGTGTTTGCACCACGTGACTCTGCCTTTAACTCGTTTTCGCAGGATGCACTCTTTGAATTGTTCTTGGAAGCCGATAAGCGAGATGCTTTTTTGAGCCGTCATGTCGCGGTTGGGTTCTACAATCGGACGGCTCTGCAAACAGGCAATATCGTTATGGTGGATGGCCGCCTCCAGGCCGTACGGCGCGTCGGCGGCTCCATTTTGCTAGGTAACATTGCGGCCGTTGTTGATGCAGAGGCTGTGGCCGACAACGGCGTTGTCCAACAGCTTGATCAGGTGTTACCTGAGGGTACAGAGCTCAGCACGACCTCGGTGACAACTTCGACCACAACCTTTGCGCCCGAGACAACAACGGAGGCCACGACAACGACGACAACGACGACAACGACGACGACGACCGCGACGACCACGACGACTTCATCCACGACCTCGGCAATCTTGGACCGACTAGATTTGCTCGATCAAGCCATGGCTGACGGTGTCGGATCCTTTGCAGATGGCGCCTTGGTTCTTTCCGGAGTTGGAGGCGTCCGGCTGGCTGTACCAACGGCACGAACGGAGCTAGGATTGCACTTTGCGTTTCGCGCAATGGTGGGTGGCTATCTGGTTTCCAAGACCAACGGCTTTGATCGTCTGTACTCGATTCGCGTGCGGTCGACTGGAGTCGTGGTCGAGGTAGCCTCTGCGACCTACGCCATTCAAACCCTGACGCTTCCGGGACAGTTTCTTGACGGCCAGGTTCACACCGTGACCGTACTTGGTAATAACAGCCGCCTCTATGCGCGCGTGGATGCGCAAGATGCAGTTCAAGTCGTGACTGGCCCAATTCCCGACTGTGAACCTAATGTTGGCGGCTGCCTGCTGTCCCTGGGCGAACGGGTGGATGAATATTTAAATTCGTTGTTGCCGATGACCGGCGAGCTCACCGAGGCCTTTCTGTACTTTTCGGTGGAGCGCCTGCTTGCCGACCTGAGTGAAGATCAAGAAACAACCACCTCCGGGCAGCACACGACCATGGCTTGGGACTCGACAACAACAGCACCCATGTCAACCAGCTCACCCGTGAGCCTCTTTGATGTACTCCAAGAGGGGGCCGCCTTGGTCGAGCCAGCCACGGCCAACGTGACTGTGAGTGCCATGAGTACGTCCTTTGATGGCTCGGGTGGCCTGTTGCTGCAAGAACATCCCGCGGGCTCAGTGCAGCAGGGCTTTGATCTTCGCCTGCAGCTGACAATTAATTCGGGCACCACGGGCTGTACGTGTGACTCTCGCTGGTTTGCACATATTTTTTTTTTTTGTGTTCTCCCTCGTAAGCTTCTTGTCCCCATGGTGTTGACTGACTTCTATCAACTGTTTTGCCAATGCTTTTCGTAGACGTTCTTTACAAGGGCACGGCCAACGGTGCAGGCCGCACCATGAGCGTGTTTATTGGCACTAATCAGATTCAAGTTGGCTTCACAATCCAAGGTGGGGCACAGACCACTTACATTTCGGTGCCCGCAGTCTTGAGCGACGACCAAGCCCATTCAGTGCGGCTTCTTTTGACAACGAACGCATTGGAAGCAAAAGTAGACGGGGTTGTGGTGGGACAGGTAGCCGTGGCGGCCAGCGGTCTTGGCTTTGTCGACTGCGGGGCAGCTGCTGCCAACTGCATCATGCTTGTGGGCAGCGGCCCCGGCCATACGGGCCGACTTACCGGCACGCTTGCTCAGCTGGATCTGCTGAATTAGCCTTGTGTGCATATCGGGCAGGGCAGGTTGCCAGAATTGATGGTCGCTGACTCTTACTTGTTCAGGGTTGCTTAACATGACATTTTCAATTTCTCATGGAGAAAAAATAAAATTAGTTCAACAGTTCTTCGTGCTGCGCTTGCGGCTTGATGCGGGGCGAAGGATGATGAGAGCTGAGCGCTGCTGGTCGCGCCTTGCATTGAAGAAAAAACGAGACCTGGACCAAATGGACAGTTCTGCTTGGCTGTGCTGGCGAGGAACGAGTGAGCCAGAGTTGAGGTCACAATATAGCATCTTTGTGGTACCATGCGACTTTGTTGTCATTGGAGCTGGCACTGAGAACATCCATGTTGCCGTCGTTGTCGAGGTCGGCCGCAAACACGGACCAGGCCGCATCGGCAGCTGTGGAGATGATAATTTGATTTGTAAAGACACCGCTTCCGTCGTTCCTATACCAGGCGATCTTGTTGTCATCTCTGCTTGCGCTCAAAGCGTCCATGTCCCCGTCGCCGTCGAGGTCTGCCGCATAAACTGACCAGGCCGCGTCGGCAGCTGTGGAGATGAGCAGCTCGCTTGAGAACCCTTGATCGCCGTCGTTGCGGTACCAAGCAATTTTGTTGTCGTCGTAACTTGCGCTGAGGACATCAATGTCTTGATCACCATCCAGGTCGGCTGCGTACACGGAACAGGCGTAAGCAGCGTTTGTGGAAATGACAATTTGATCCGAAAAGGACGCATTGCCATTGTTGCGATACCAGGCAATTTTGTTGTCCGTGCTACTTGCGCTGAGGACATCAGCATCTCCGTCGCCATCGAGGTCGGCCGCGACCACCGACCAGGCGCTCTGGGCGGAAGTGGTGATGATCAACTCGTTGGAGAAGCCACCGCTGCCGTCGTTGCGATACCACGCGATCTTGTCATCACTGGTACTGGCGCTGAGGACATCCAGATCTCCATCTCCGTCCAGATCAGCGGCAAAGCTGGCGCGAGCAGAGGTGGCATTCGTGGAGATGACCCTCTGTTCAGAAAAATTACCTTGACCGTTGTTGCGGTACCAAGCAATTTTGTTGTCAGTTACACTGGCGCTCAGGACGTCGATGGCGTTGTCGCCGTCCAAGTCGGCTGCGTGAACAGCCCAGGGCGAGATGGCAGCCGTAGATATAATTATGGGAGCGGAAAATCCACCCATGCCATCGTTGCGGTACCATGCAATCTTGTTATCATTTCGGCTTGCGCTGAGGACGTCTTGATCCCCGTCACCATCCAGGTCTGCTGCGTACACTGAGCTGGCGGCAATGGCGTCTGTGGATATGATTACGGGCGCATAAATCAACGGCAAGCGTTGCATCGTTTGCGTCAGTTGCTCAAGCTGTTGCTGGGCCTGCCTGAGCGCCCTGGCCACATCGACGCCGTTGAGCAGCACGGCCCCACTGGTGTTGAAGTGCAGCGCTCCGCTCGCATCGACCAACAGATTGGCATCCATCATCTCCCCCTCGGGCAACGCCCACACGCTCACCGCAACAAAAGCACATAGCCCCCAGACCACGAGCAGCCTCATGAACCCCGCCACTCCACGCTGCTCCACCCTCCCCACCAAACCCAGCGACCGCAAGCCAGCCGCCATCACCACCATCACCACCAACAACAGGTCCGAGCCATGCGCCGATCGCGCAGCACGCATCCGAGAAAAAAAAGCAACAACAACAACAACAACAACAAAAGACAACAACAAAAGACAACAAAAGACAACAATAAAAGACAACAAAAAGCAACAACAAAAAGCAACAACTCATCCAATAAAATAAAAATTTTAAATGAAATGAACGCGTGTAAAATAAAATAATCCAGCTGCGTGTGTGTGTGCCACACTCGAGCACTTGTTGACATGTGAGTCGGCAGATGGTGGTGCTGTTGGTAGGTTGGTAGTGCTATGGCCCGCGTGGCTGGTGTGGCTGGTATGGCTGGTGGGGATGGCCCGGGAATGAAACAGACAAGGCTCAATTGCTCGCTTAACATCCAGGGTGTCGAGCGCGCTCGAGGGCGACACGAAAGCGTTGACATGTGAGTTGATTTTGTCTTTTTTAAAAGGCGTGGCGCGTCCCTTCTATTGCTGGCGTTGCCCGCTGTTGATAGAGTGCGCAAACAAAACAATGGCATCCCGCTCAGCCACGTCTTGTGCCAGGAAGTGCTTGTTAACGGCCTGGTTAACATGGGACAAATTCACGTGAGAATATTGAGAACGAACGGCTGATACAGAAGAGGATGATGGCCCGGGTGAGTACATCTTCACCGGTGGCTTACCTGGACTAGATCTGGTTTTGACTGGCCGCCGTCGATTTTGTAGTGGCGACCGTAGCGACGAAGGGTGTGCATGCTGAGCAAATTGAAATCAACCTAAATGCCAATCGGGATAAAAAAAAACACACTGAGAGGTACACCCCTAAAGGCACGCGGGTTGCAAAAGCGAAAAGCGTACGTACCTGGGGGAGGTCTGAGTCGGCAGGAGCAACGCGCCGCTTGCGCTTATCCCGACTAGGAACACTAGCAGGCACGGCCGTTGAGATAAACTGCCTATGGTGGTCGCAGATCAGCTCGTGTGGGCACTGCGCGTGTCCCAGCGCACATTCATCCACACAACACAGAACGTGAGAGATTGTCCGCAACACAATGTCAGACCT